TGCTTCTTCCATGGAAACTTTTTGAAACTCGAGGAGAAATTTAGCTGTGAATTGAACTGGTCTAGTTCCAAGCTCTGAAACTTCCAAAATTCCAGAAACAAAGAGAAGTTTACATATTATTATCTGATTTTTATTTAATATATACAAATGATCCTCAATTTGTCAATTAACTGAATTAAAAGTTCATGAATTATTTATGATTCACAATATATGATCACATATTAACACAAGAACTTTTCAAAGGGTCAAAGAGCAGGAAAGACTTCGTCATTGTTTGTTAAGATGGAGAAATCGAACAAGGAAAATGCTGATTTTCTCTACAGAAAATTTGTCTTCAACCCCATGAACATGAAATTCTTGAGAGAAAAAAACAAGACTCACTTGACCTTGACATCATTTCATGGATGATGTCAAGGTCAAGTTTTTGTGGTTAAATTAGTATCTGATACTAATTATAAATGAGCAATAATATGTCAACTAAATTTGGTGTATGGAATGTTTGTAAGGTGTACATGTCCAACTGGAAAGTATTATCTGACCTTGACCTCATTTTCACTGTTCCTTGTTCAGTGTAGAGTTTTTCCATTGTTGATTCAGGGACACACACTAAAAGTGCTATAGGTAGAAGTATTTTGTTTTAGCAATATTGTTACTGTTACTGTTATAGATACTAAATGTTTCAAGTGAAAGATGTGAGATTACATGTAGATTTACTGTATTGCTCCTTACATGTGGTAACCTAACGGTGTACAATACTTGGCCCAAGTATCAACAGCAGCATGGAAGCTTTCACTTGAGACAGTAATAAGTTTATACAAAATATAAAAATAATAAGATGTGGCATAATTACTGCTTAGTGAACTATTCATAGATAAAAAAAAAGCAGGAGATGTAAACTATTAGTGGTCAATTACAGTTAAAAATGAGCAAAATATATATACTGTATTATGTTTCACAACCTTCGAACTTCGTCTTGTGCACTTTCTCTTGTCACAATACTGGGTTTATGATGTAACAGCACAACACAAACTAATCAGTTTGAAAGGGCTTAATTTGACTTATCCGATCGCAACTTCACACAAAATAAATAACAATAATAAAAAGAAAAAGACACATTGTGACAACAGTTTATTATCTATTTCACCTATGCACCATGGAATTATTGTATTTCTTAAATAATTGTTTATTTGTTTTGCATAAATAGTGTCTTTCAGACAGAATATTTAAAAGCACATATTGTCTAAAAACAAAGGAAAGTATCCTGAATTATAACTGAAAATCATCTGAACCTTTCCTGAAAAATGTAAGCTAAAGCAGCAATTTAAGCTGAAAATGGTCTTAACCCTTCCTGAACCATAGCTGAAGACTGAATAATAGCGGAGTATAGATTCTTTCAAATTTTTACTGAACATTTGCTTAAATGTCCTTCTGTTTGTTGAACATTTCAGAAATAAATGCTGAAAAGTTTCTGAATATTTACCTTAACAGTCTTAGTTGAATTTTTACTGAAAATTTGCTGAAAACCTACTGGAACGTGCCAAATTCAGCCATTTTTAAGAATGTGGTTTTTTAAGAGGTACTGAATATTTCAGCAAGGTGTCCAGAAAAATTCAGAATTAAAGCTGAATTATTTCTGAATATTGCTGAATACTGACTGAAAATGTCTTGCTGAATTGTTACTCAAAATTTGCTGAAAACTTGCTTGAATGAGCCAAATTCAGCCATTTTTAAGCAAAAGGTATTGTAAGAGGTTCTGAAAATTTCAGAAAGGTGTTCAGCAAAAATTCAGAATTAATGCTGAATTTTTACTGAAAATTTGCTGGAACGTGCCAAATTCAGGCATTTTTTAGAAAAAGGTTTACTAAATGTGTTCAGTGAAATTCCAGCATCATGTTCAGAAAAAAATTCAGAAAAATATTTTCATGGGGGCTGAAATCATTGCATATATACCCGGGTATAAGAGGACATTACTAATCAAATACATGTTAAACTCTCTGGATCAGAAGAGAGTACTGATCAACTTAATTACTTCAAACTAACTTCTATCTTTCAAGAGTACCTTCATAATATTCTTGAAAATAATATTTTCTGATTCCAAATACTAATGGTCTATTCATGTGTAATCAGGAAACTGAACTCATTACAGTTTGACAGAGGGTGTAGCTAGGCAAATGTCTGATTTCAACACCATGATTTCTAAATATTTTTTTTTCTGGGGTTTACCCCTAAAATCTTCTTTTAATAATGCTAATAAAAAAATTGTTTTGTATTAGAATTCCAGTCAACTGAGCAGGATCTACTGATTATAACATGCATGCTAATATGGTTGTATATTAAATATTCAGTGGAGACTCATTTTTTTTTTCTTCATAAATTGAATTGTTTTAAATTAGGCCATTAGCTTTCTTGTTTGAATTGTTTCAAGTTTTACATGTCGGAGTCTTTAACTGCTGTCAGACTAACTGGTATGGGTTTTTATACGCCCGTCAAAAATGGGACGTATTATGGTATACAAATGTCCGGCGTTCGTCTGTCTGTCTGTCTGTCTGTCCGGCCTCCACATGTCGCACCGTAACTTGAGAACAACTTATCCAAATTTCATGAAACTTAATATAGTTGTTTCTTATGATTGTCAAACTATCTGTATACTTTTTGGTGAAAATAAAATAAAACTTTTTGAGTTACGGGACTTTGTAACTAAAACAGGGGGGGGGGGGGGGTGTTTTTTTCACATGTCGTGCCGTATCGCAAAAACGATTTATGATTATTGCTTAAAACTTAACACACTTCTTAGTTATATTAATTTAAAGATCTGTATACTTTTCGGTGATGATTCAAAATCTTAATTTAGAGTTATTGAGTTTTTTGTAAAAAAAAAAGGGGGGGGGGGTTTCACATGTCGCACCATATCTCAAAAACGATTTGATTATTGCTTAAAACTTTACACACTTCTTAATTATATTAATCTAAAGATCTGTATACTTTTTTGTGATGATTTTATTTTAGAGTTATTGATTTTTTTATAAAAAAGGGGGTTTTTCACATGTCGCGCCGTATGTCAGAAACGATTTATGATCATTGCATAAAACCTCACACACAAGACGACTGGCGTATCATGCGCTCGTGGCGCAGCTGTTTATTACTCTTTTTTGAAGCCTTAACTGGCGTAAAGTGGCCTATAATTGCTTGCATCCTTTTCATTTGGACTCTGCTGGATAGCTGTCTCAGTGGCAATCATACCATATTTCCTTATTTTCATATATATATAGTTAACACAAGTACTATAATTCTGAAATGGGACTTGATAAAAAAATACTTCATACAACAAATAGACACTGCTATTGATGCAATTTGAGTAACAAGATACCCATTGCAGGCTAAACAAAAAAACTACAACCTCTACTGAGCTATATCATCTGTTCTGAATGGAAACTCTCCATCACAATAGGCCTTTCCTTCAAGATTTGGCAGCAATTTAGTCCTGCTCTTCACAAAATTTTGCATGAAAAGTGCTACTGGCAATTGAGAGTACTATGTTTTTTCCAACCAAATTTGAAGGGCAGGATTTTTCCACAAGACCTTACATGTAGTACATTTTCGCCATTTAGCCCAATCAACATTTTCTGCATAATGAATAGCAGCAAATATTACTGTGTTGACATGCTAATATTTTATTTTGTTGCTGGGTTGCTATCTCTTTGTCAGATATATATCTTCTTTAAATAATATATGTATTACAGTGAATGTCTTGTTGATTTCCCTTCAACCTCGGCTATAACCGATGACCTTAGATGTAGTAAGCTGTTGAAGACTTTTACATGTGAATAACTTCTGTTTTATTTTGTTACCAGGTTGCTGTTCCTTTGATGTGAAAATGTATATACAAAACTCCTGAATGATTAATTTTATTTTAACCTCTGGTTTATGGTGAAAAAGCTGTTAAAGACTAAGTGATTGGTGCATATATTATCTTTTTTCATGCTGGGTTTCTTTCTGATATTTATGTAACATGTACTTTTACTCATATGTATATGATTGATTGATGTTTAATGCCACTTTCAGCGCTATTGGCTATTTCATGGCGGTCAGTTTTTATTGGTGAAGGAAGCCAGAGTGCCCTGAGAGAACCCCTGTCCTTACGGTAGGAAAATTGACAATCCTAGTCAATTAAGATTAGAGTCGAACACAATTGGCACATGCTGGATTCAAACTCACAACCTCAGTTTTGACAGGCTAATGATATGGTAGATGGACTACTTAGACCAATCGGCCACAAAGGTCCCCAAATATTTTTATGATAAGGCTTATTTTTGTTCTCGTACTAGGAACAACAATACTATTTATTTTATAAAAATTATTTCCATACTCTGTGTATACCTTACAACAAAATTATTTTTATTTTACCTGTGTATGTATTTTATTTGGTGACATTTTGTCCAAGGTAATGGTTGTCTTTCTGACATTGTTTTACATCTAACCCCCTTGTTTTATTAATTTTGTATTTACATTGTGTCATAGATCAAATTTATTCGTTCAGTGTATGTTCACTTGTTTTGGTTAGTATGTCTTTTGATTGAGTTAAGGCATTTCAATTGATATTTTATAGTGTGTCTTTCTATGTTGTGATGTTACACTATTGTTTCAGGAAGAGTGAAGGTTGGCGCTTATTAAAACGTTCAAACCCACTGCAATTGTTTGCACCTGTCCTAAGTCAGGAACCTGATGTTCAGTAGTTGTCGTTTGTTGATGTGGTTCATAAGTGTTTCTCGTTTTTTATATAGAATAGACCGTTGGTTTTTCTGTTTGAATGGTTTGACATGTCATTTTTGGGGGCCCTTTATAGCTTGCTGTTCGGTGTGAGCCAAAGCTCTCTGTTGAAGGCCTTCTTTGACCTATAATGGTTTACTTTTACAAATTGTGACTTGGATGAAGAGTTCTCTCATTGGCACTCATACCACATCTTCTTATATCTAATTATTAATCTTAAACAACAAACTCCATCAACAAAACGTTTTATTGATATGTATTGCACCACTGCAGCAAAAAGCTTGCAGTTAAATTTTGGTTGACAACATTGGTATTTTAATAAAGGCACTTCATAAAATAAATCATTGAAGAAATCGGTTTTTATGATCGCTTACATAAAGATTTCTTTTAAAATTTTGTTTTTTTAGAATAAATTTATAAAATGTAGTTCTAATCATCTAACTAATTTTAGTATTCAACATGTTCAAAAGAAGGAAAACAAAAAAATGTAAAACAAACCCAAAAAAATCCAAGAAATAGAACTAAGATAAGGTTTGAAAAATTCATGTGGACATTGGTCTCAATTTATCCACTATGAAAATCAAACAATTGTTACTTAAGGTAAAAAATATATAAAATAAACCATTTATAAACTGTCTGCAAGAGCCAATATTTCAAGAATAATTTTTATGAATCATTTTGTAATGAATGAAAATAATAATAATGAGTTATGAAACATGAGTACAATGTAACACTATTTAAAACAGTGTAAAACAGTCTACAAAACTATATCAATATGTAACTTTGTTGTTATGGTTTTAAATGCCAAAACAATAACGGAAGAACAAAGGGTAAAATTATTTATCAATAATTAAAGTACAGATATCAGAAAAATCCAAATCGAGATAATTTTTTGTTACCTCCCTTGATCTGGTCTTGATGCATATAAATGTGCCAAATTTTAGAATAAAGACCTGTATTAGATTAGATTTTAAATTCTTAATTCTTTTTTAATCCTGCACTTTTTAGGACTGATTTCAAAAGTACTGTATTCTATATCAACAAAATTACATATATTTACCTAAATCTTCAAAACAAATTTGTGTATTTCATACTACCACAATAACAGCAGAAAATGAGTGTTCAATCCACACCCCAATTTACCCCCCTATCCCTACAGACATCCACACACAATCATATATACATCTATTGTACAATAGAGCTTGATTCAGTATCTCGTGTGACTACATTTACATCACTTAAGAATTTTAGAAGGCGAGACCAGTGACTCGTAATTTTTTACCATGGTGAGTTCAACATTAAAAAAGAAATTTTGATGCATCTCTGGACTCCATGATGATGAGTCCAGAGAGATTTTCATGAGAACAAGAGTCACAAACTCACTTTAGTTCTTTCTAAGGCCAAATTTTTTAAAAGAATGTCAACCCTCTTCATTGGTATACACTGAGTTTGTGAAGGACCACAGTCTGATGATCAAACTGGTAAAATGATTGCCCAACCAGCAAAAGACAATTCTCAAGGACTAAATGTCAGATGGAAAATTTAAATTGTAAGTTATATAATTATTGATTGTTTAAAATCAAAAGACACCAATCACTACTTTGGATATACATGTACCTTATTTTCTGTGCATGTGAAAATACATAAATCATAAAAAATCAGTTAACAACAAACATGTAAAATCCTAATGTAAACATATCATTTCTTCATATCAATAGTATTTATATTTTTTTATTATTGATTGATTGTTTTTCTTTATGTCCTGGGACTCATTTCACAAACAATCTTACAAGAGTATTCATGAACATTTCAGTATAATTTATGATCAATTTGTGTCGTATGATTTTTTTTGTGAAAAGAGCCCCAGGGCTTCTGTTTTATGAATAAATTTGATAAGTTATTAAAAAATCATCTCTTTCCACATTTTTAGAGAAAAATATATTATCATGTAATGTCAAGGTGCATCTTTTTTATGCAAACCATAACAGACGATATGTACTAACATATCTAACCCTGATTTACAAGCTAAAAAGTCTTTTCAAACCAATAATTATAAACTTGTTAATAACAATATCATTACCTCATGTGAAAATAAATACAAATAAACTGCTTATTTACAACTTGCCATACACACAAATGTTCAACTTGACAAATACACATGTACATCAAGACAAATACACATGTACATCAGGACAAATACACATGTACATCAGGACAAACACACAGACATTAATCCTACACTAGCGGTACCGTTACCTCAGCGGAATGAACAAAGTTCTTGAAAGACATACAAATATAAAACAATGAGACGTCTATTTGTCCTCGACATTAAATCAGGAGTATGCACTGACAAAATTGGGATTTTTTTATAAATTACTGTTAATTTTTAATTTTCAATTTTATTCTAATTATTAGCTGTGCAGTGAGACATAATCTACCCTAATTATGAAACTGTCCTTGTTTTATATTGTGGTTGTTTCATGTTTGTTTGTGGGTGTTTAACACCATATTAAGCTACTCTGGCTATAACATTAGTCAGTACTTCTTGGTACATTAACAACAAAATACTGCAAGACCTCACTTATTTTCTAACACAAATAATTCTGCATTTATTAAAGAAAATGCATATACATAAAAACCTGACAAATTAATGATATCAAATCCCTGCATATGACCTACTTTCATTCTACTTAATGACTGAAATGCTTTTTCTCAAAAATATATATAATTTGTGATATTAATCATATTAATGATGAGATGAATTTAAATGATAACTATTTTATGAGTGATTCTTGTAAAAATAAATAAAAAATGCATAGTTTAACTCTGGATTACGAACACTATTTTCAATGCAAAATTAACAATCATTAAATGCTATACCAGGAATGGCATTTAATATTAAACATGTACATTTGTAATTAATGATTATTCATATGAATACAACGAAAACTTGAGCAAATTTGATGGACAATCATGAATAGCAGTCAATAATTTGAGCAAATAAATTTGAACACATGTAATATTCTTTGGAACCTCAATTTGATATGGCACAGTCTAATATGGCAATACTTCACAAAAATGTTTGGACACACCAAGTCCTAATAAAATACATGTGTTTCCGCTAACCCAGCTTACTGAAATTTAAGTGCCTATTCTAAGAGAGTTTGGCCATTCAAAAAAGCACTTTAACATTAAAGTCAGATTGTACCCTGTAAAAAGTGGAAAAGAAATATGATTCCCTACCACAACTCATTTTTCACAGTATCATATGTTAGCGGAAACAGCAGTATCTTTTTTTCTTGACCTAAGTCTTCTAAACGATACAAAAATTTCATTCAATATCTTATTGATATATTATAATTATAAATTATACCTCACATAATCTGGAGTGGATTATCTATCTTTGGTATTATTTCATATTATCTCCCCTTATAAAAGAGAGCTTCTGTAAACTATTTTGCTATTGCTGTTTTTCTATGCAAAAAAGAGTACAAGATTAATATTTACATTTATTTACAATCTAATCTAAACATACTATGCTTAATATTTTAAATGGACCTTTTCTATTTGCTGTTAATAGAACTTTATAAAATTCAGGTGGTCGGAGTGTAAGAGTGTAAAAGTTTTATTTAGGACCAAGACAACTTCTGACAAAAAATCAGTCTGGAATGTAACTTAATTCAGATATTTGGTAAAAAATTGATTTTAGTGATTTTCTTAATTATACATGTTATATTAACAATCTTTTAATAATATATTTTAGTTGTTTTTATTTTTTTTTTTAATTGCCAATTCTTGTTTTCATTTGTCTCCCTTACTAATTTTTTTCCATTATAATCAAAGATTGTTCCCATGTGGATTGATATCTTTCCTTTTCTAATTGAAAAAAGTTGTTCTGTGTCACTGTAGATCAAGAACCATCTTTGGTCTCAAATATTATGCCCTTGCTAATAAATCGGTAATCAAATTGCAATTATCTTCCAAATTTTTTATCAAAATCATTTAAAATAGATCATTACTTTGAAGATAGTAAAGAAAAAAGAACTTAAGCTGACAAGCAGATGAGAGAATTTCAGTGAAGAAATTACATTTGAAATATAGTCAAATCTAAAATTGGCCATACATTTTCATTATAATGGAACCTTTTATCATAAAGAAATATAGAGTTGCACCCCCTGAAATTTCAAATTTTATAAACACTGGTTTAGTTATTTTACCTTTATAACCATGATAACAAAAAGTAATCAAAAATATTTAATTATTATTTTCTAATTTAAAAAAAAAAAAAAAAATCAGTTGCGTCTGGTGGGGGTGCTGGGGCCTGACTGATTCTATGCTTGTTAATTTATCTTTGTATTATCATATTATAAAAAAAATTAAAAAATATACTTTTAACCCATGTTTATATAAATACAAAATATATATGTGCAGCCATCAGCTGTTATTTTCAGTATTTTGGATCATAAATCTTTGAACTCTGAATTGAAAAAGAAGGTTAAAATTTAAATTACTTAAGTATGTCATGTATCAGGAATAACTGAAAAACACCTGAAATCCTAACTATAACAATATTATAACATTCAACAGTTGAAAAAATTATATATGCAATACTCATTTATAATGGCAAAAACACCAAAAATCAATTTCAACATTTTAAAATGTAAACAATATAAAAAATAAATTATAAATAACCGGCTTTTGCAATGGAATGATTCATTATGCTGCCATTTTGAATTGGGCTTCCTCTTGGGTAATCAAGAGGCCCACTGTCTTTGGTTATGTTAAATGGAAATGGAAGACTAGTTTTCAATGGAGTTCCTGATGGAGTCTGCCTAACTAAAGGGAGATCATTTGAGTCTGAATTATGTTGGTATCCATTTGGAATACCTCTCTGGTTTTTCATCTGTTCGGAAGCACTGTGCATCATCATTCCTTGTGCAGCCATGACATTTGCAGCTAGCGCCATCTGCATTTGCTGGAGTTGAAGAAAATACATCTGTTGAGCCTCTGCTGCCATTGGCTGTATCATCTGAGGATATTTTGATTGGTCGGCTGACTGTTCTTCTATCATTTCCACGGTATCTTGAGATTTCTTTTTCTGACGGGATGCGTATCTTTTTCTTTTCTTTGGTGGCATCACAATTTCCACTTTTGTCTCTTCTACTAGGCAATTATCTTTAGGAATGAGTTGTTCCTTCAATATGTTTTCAGACGACACTATTCTTGGTGATAATGCTGAAGATGTAAGCTTATTATTAGGCTCCAGATTTTCAGAAGCAGAATTACTCCTCGATCGGTAGTCACCTTCACTCAGTGAATCACCAGACTGACTTATGGGAGAATATCTGTCATTACACTTCTCTTGTACTTTGTCACCATGGTAACTGGTATTAAGTTTCTTCTCTTCATTATGGTCTTGATTAACAGAGTTATTTTCATCATATGGAGGAGCATAATCTGGAATTCTGGGTAGAGAACTCTCCTTTAAGCATTGTTCATCATAGGGTATGCCAGAGTTAGGACTATTGAGATATCGTCTCTCTGACAAGGATGAGGCTAACGAGAAGCTAGTTTTGTCTGAAGCATTATCATCAGATTCACAACTTTCTGACTTCTTATCGTGTAAATTATCGTGAGTATTTACCTCTTCTGTGTACTGTTTGTGTTGATGAAATAAATTTTCAACTTCTTTAAGACTCTTCTCCACGATCTCTGTGACGTCTAAAGGTGTTGGTTGCAACATTTGTAGGGGTTCCGTCTGATTTATTTTCTGTTCACACAATTTACTTCCAATGGATTTAATATTCTTCTGCTCTTTGTTAACCGGTAATTCTTGTACACGTTTTAGTGTCTTTTCCCCTACAGAGCTTGAAAGTTCTGATTCCTCCTCTGAAACATCCTCCACTTCTGCACCAGGTCCCTCCAGCATTGAGCTTTCAGATAATTGCATTTCATTTTCAACAGTTACTTCCCCTGAATGAACTTCCTCCAATGAGTCCTTTCCTCTTTTGATGTTGTTGTTAACAGCATCTGATATTTTCTCATCACTGGAATCAATGGATGGTGAGGATATTGGAGAATCACCAGATTGTTTTAATTTATCAAGTATCGGCGCTAACGATTCGTGTATCATTGCTTCTGTAACACCCGGTTGCTCTGTGTGCTGACGAATATGTTTGTATAAATGACTTGTCTGGGCAAATTCCTTCTTGCATATTTTACAAATGTATGGCTTGTTTGTGCTGTGCATACGAGAATGAATAGTCAGATGATGACGATGTATGAATGACTTGTCACAAACTTCACATTTAAAAGGACGAATTCCGCTGTGCATTTTCTTATGTTGACGTAACACACAGGCTTTACTGAATGACTTACCACACACATCACATGTATGTAATTCCTCAGCACTATGTGTTTTAACATGTTTTTGTAATTCTGCGTTGTCACTAAATGCTGTGTTACACACTCCACATTTGTATGTCCTCTCACCAGTATGTGAGCCCATGTGCATCTCTAAATAAAAAACTTCATTGAATGAGCGACCACACAGATGACACTTGTAATTTTTACCATTATGAACACGAAGATGACGACGTAAATTGTTATATTGACTAAATTCACGGTCACACTGCTCACATTTATATGGCATACTTCCTGTATGAGTATTTCTCATGTGTCTTTGAAGTTCGTAGCTATCACTAAATTCCTTGTCACAAATTCCACATGAACATACTTTAGATTCGTGAGTTTTCATGTGGTTGTGGAAATTTCCAACTTGTGAAAACTTTCTGCTACATGTTTTACACTCGTAGATTTCAACAACGTCCTTTTGTTTACTAGTATTTTCGCTATTTCTGGATGTTGATCTAGACTTACTTCCAGAATTTCTCCTTACTGGTCCCACTTTACTGTGTTGTAAGTTTAAGTTAGGGTTGTAAGGCAGTGTAGGATTCATGGAATTCGGGAAAGAGTCAATAGGTAGTGGAAATCTACCTTCAGACATACCACTAATAGTAGCAGGTGGCATGAAAGAATTCGGTGGCATCATCATATAAGGAGAGAATCCGAATGGCACTGGAAAATTACCCAGCATCCCCATGTTTGGCATTGGTGGAATCATGTTCAATAAGGATTGATTATCCATTGGTGAGTTATAATATGGTGGATAACCACTAGTGTCACCTGGTTTAGAAAGTTCGGCAAAATGAGTATTATTTCTTTGTGGGGATTTGGACCTGAAGTCTAATGGTTGCCTTTCACTGGATGGAACCTTATCATAAGTCCTCATTTCAGTATAATTTTCTGGACCGATTGATGAATGTTGTGTTTCACATTTGTTATGTGCTGATTGAGAGTTGTAAGTGCCATTATATGAGTTTTGCTTTCCATTTTCAACGTGATGAGACAGCGGAGGATTTGATTGCTTGGTTCTAGATACTTCATCATGATCATTTTCTGGAGTATTTTCATGTTGTGTATCTATAACTAACTTATCACTATCTTCATTATCGGATTCAACGACATCGTTATTGACACTTGACGAAACTTGATTATATTCTGGCTTAGGTTCGGGTACTACCCTGTTTCTGACAGTCGAAAGATCTAAGGCACCAGATTCTGATACAACAGGCTTTTCCATGAAATGTGTAGAGTCATAACCCACTCGTTGGGAATTAAATGCTGCCATTTTTAAGTCTAATGGCTGAGAGTCAGGTTGAATATTATGCACTTTGTTACCATGATTCATTATTGACGAGTGTTTGTACACATGATGGCACTGTAGGTGATATAATGACGAAAAGTTACTGGAACAAAAACTGCATTTGTAAGTTCCTGAAAAATAAAAAATAAAATAGGTAAATTGCACATTAAACTTTGTCACTTTAATAAATAGATGGCGATTCCTACAAACATTTGACAAAATAACCATTCAATTTTTGAAGTTATTTTCTGCAGAAACCAGTTCAATTCTTTAGAACATATGAAGCCAAAAACATGTATGTTCATTATCAGTGATATTGTTGTCTTTTTTCAAAACTACCTCTACCGTTTTTTATTGGGAAAAATGCATATTTTTTATTGAAATTGGGAAATTTGTATATTTTATTCTAAACACATTTCCGATTTTTTGCCGACCTTTGCAGTCTTTTTTGCACTGTTTTTTCATGTATATTTTGATTGTCAGACATTTTCAACCTGAAAGGTACTTTTCTAAGAGGGGAAAGAAACAGAAGCATTGATGGTACTTAATGCATTGAAAACCACATGTGTTACAAACACCATGATGATTCTGATCATAAACCGGATCTCAAAAGTGCTTTCTAATATCAAAATAATATCATGAATACGATATTTACAATCATTACTACCAATGCCATCACTGTTTGGGGAAAATGTAAAACTTTTTGGGAGGAATTTTAAACCAATTTATTTTAGTGATTGGGAATTTTCTCTAGGGGAAAAAGCCGAATTTCGGCTGTAATTTGAGGCAAACAATATCACTGATTATATCTCAGGCCTCGACAATAACGCTTGTCCGATTGTCCGGTACCAGAGGAAAAAAAGGTCGGACAAGTAAAAGCTATATCAAGCTTGTCCGACGGGACAAATAAAATTATTCTGCAGAAAATAAATTTAATCCAACTTTGATGAACAAAGTAGTTACAAACAAAAAACAAGAAAAGAAGATAAAAACAAGTATTAATTTGACATGTTTACTTGCAAACCGATAATTTTTAACTGGTTCTTTGTCAGGTACTTTTTAATAAATAAAAGGCATACTATTCTCGGAAACCAGTTTTACTGATCCGAATCAGCAATGCGCTTTGTAGAAAAGGTAACTTTACAAGACAGTTCTTCACCAGCTCGGAAACGATTCGGCTCCTAAGTTTAATAGACAGTTTGGCACTGTAGGAGACATATTTAATAGATATGATTAATAGACAGTTTGGCAACGCAGGAGACAATTCGCAGGAGACAATTCGGGACCAGGACAAATCAGTACCTGGTTTCCCACCTTATTCTGTTGCTTTATATTATTATAATAAATACCATACCGGTAATTTTTTTAACAAAAATATTTTTTAAATAAAAATGAAGAAATTATTTACCATAATATTCACAAAATCATATTTGATCATATGTAAAAAGAAACAATACTTGCAATATAGTGACCTATAGTTGTTAATTTCTATGTCATTTGGTCTCTTGCAGAGAGTTGTCTCATTGGCAATCATACATCATCTTCTTTTTTTTATTGATTGCATTTGAATAATCTTTTTTCAACTTAAACAACCAGGATACAAATCCAATGAGTGTACATTGACAGGCCTATCAGACGGTGCCTCATGTGCAGAGTCTGATGAGACTTTGGCATTGATGAAAACTAGAACCTAAGCCCTGTGACATGACTAGATTCAGTTGTTCTCGACTCATATTTTTGAAAAGTATTTCAAAAGATATAAATCAAATTCTGTTCTATTGTTTTAATTCATTTTGTTCCTTGAATCAACTTATAAGGCAAAAAAGTTTATTATTAAGATTTGTTTTGGACAAGTTACAATTTCATTCGGACAAGTAAGTTTTGGGTTGTACTTGTCCTACTGGACAAGTTGCAAAAAAAGTTATTGTAGAGGCCTGTATCTGATAGTATTTTTTTCATGATAAAATCCAAGTTCTGGCTTATAAATTTTCCAAAAAAAATGTCCATGCATTCCATGTCCTATTTTATTCAGTCAACAAGTATTGATAAAAAGCCAAAAAAAAGAATGTGCCCATAGTACACGGATGCCCCACTCGCACTATCATTTTCTATGTTCAGTGGACCATGAAATTGAGGTCGAAACTCTAATTTGGCAATAAAATAAGAAAAATTCGTAAGGGTTCCGTGGAACCCAGTGTCTCACCTACTTTTGCTGTTAATCACAGGCTCAACAAAAATGAGGAAAAAAATTAATAAAAATATTCCTCTCTATACTATCTTTTGATTGTAAGTAGCTTCTGTCCAAGTTTGGTAAAAATCCAGGATAGTTTATGAATCTAATAAATGTTTTAAAAACTTAAACTGCAGACTGTATGTAATGTTAACTGGAAGAAAAACAAAGTCCATTTATAAGAAAAATACGGAAAAAATCGTTCAAAATTTTAACAAAATTTTCTTCTAGATACTAGCTTTTAATCATAAACAAGCTTCTGTCCAAGTTTGGTACAAATCCAGGATAGTTTAAGAAAGTTGTTAAAATTTTAAAAACTTTAACCACAGAGTGAATGTAATGTTAACTGGCAGAAAAACTAAGTCCAATTATAAGTAAAATATGGGAAAAAATGGATTTTTTTTTTTACAAAATTTACTTCTGGATACTATCTTATGATCATAAACAAGCTTCTTTCCAAGTTTGGTAGAAATCCAGGATAGTTTAAGAAAGTTATTAAAATTTCAAAAACTTTAACCACAGAGTGAATGTAATGTTTCTTGGCAGAAAAACTAAGTCCATTTATAAGTAAAATACGGAAAAAATGGATTTTTTTTTTTACAAAATTTACTTTTGAATATTATCTTATGATCATAAACAAGCTTCTGTCCAAGTTTGGTAGAAATCCAGGTTAGTTTAAGAAAGTTATTAAAATTTCAAAAACTTTAACCACAGAGTGAATATTTGTGGACGCCGCCGACGCCGACGGAATGTAGGATCGCTATGTCTGGCTTTTTCGACAAAAGTCGAAGGCTCGACAAAAATCATATCATAGGGAACATGTGTATTAAGTTTCAAGTTGATTGGACTTCAACTTCATCAAAAATTACCTTGACCAAAAACTTTAACCTGAAGCGAGATAGACAGACGAACGTACGGACACACATACCGAAATACATAATGCCCTAGGTGGGGCATAATAATGAAATTTTATCATAAATATTTAAACATGTAAGCTATGCGAAAGATTCAAATTCAATGAACCATGATGAGGTGGAAGGACCATATAATCTTCATGCAAATATTTATACAACTGCATACCAAATATCATCTTAAACTGATCTAATCCCAAACTTTAACAGGTAAATTATACAAAACATTCAAAGCCAAATTAAAATAACCATGACTTAGGGGGCAGAGCTAACTAATCTCTATGGAAATGAAATGTACCAATGCTAATACACATCTACATATAAAATATCATAGACCTACCACTAATGGTTCCTCTTAAACTAACTTATCACAAACTATTACATGTAAATTAAGCCAAAGTTTCAAAGTCAATAGACCATGACTGAGGGGGCGGGACCACATAAACTCCATAGAAATGATATGGCCCAATGCTAACACAACTGCATACCAAATATAACTGACCTTCCACTAGTTGTTTCCCATAAACTGACCTTATCACAAACTGATACATTGTGGACACCTCAGTGTTGACTGGCTAGTGATATAGTAGATCGAATACTTTGACCACTTGGCCACCAAGGCACCGCTGGTAGAAGACAAAGTGTTGCCTAACAATGTTGTCCAAATTTCCTGTAGGTGCACACATTTTTTATAATAGTACAGTGATCTTGACATTTTCAATTTGGTAACTTAAACCCTTATTTGCAACAATTTGATTCAGATGTTTGCTGAACAGCAACTGACTTGTTGATGTTAGATTTGTTTTAAAATACAGGAAAACAACCCATGAAACTTTTGACAAAATTTTGACCTCTTCAAGCATGTCAAGACAATTCAAAATTAGACTTATTTTTGTCTGAGCTGATGAATACTAAATTAGAGTATATAAATCTGACTGTAGATAAATACTATAGGTCATCAGACAGACTTGCTGTTCTGTTTAGGCACTGACTCAACAGTTAGTATTTATGACTTTCCAAACATATGGTCTCATGAGTTGAGAGCACAGAAATCATCTAATATATTATTTTATTTGCCTATCTCTTGAGTTGACCAAGTATTTTTTTAATGAGAGTAAAAGAAACTATTACTGCTGACAGATAGGTTCATTACACATCAGGGGCATTTCAAACAAGTAACGCTTTACCTATAAATACGAGTTATCTTAAAAAGGAGGCTCTTTTAGCATGTTTTAATATGTATATATCATGTATATATATATGTATAAGATACTTTTCAAATAATATTGTTTAGAGGCTCTTTTAAATAATATAACTAATATCATGAATATAAGTTCCTTTTGTGAATATCATAAATTTACAGGTGTCCATTCATAAAGATTTTACTAGCATAAAAACAGAAGACCATGAAGACATACCTGATTCCCTGTCGGATACTGAATCCTGCTGCGAAAATGGTTCACTATTGTCGGTTACCGTACCTCCACTGTCTGGGTTAATTCTGTCTGTAAAATGAAAAAACCATAGTTAAATTTCATAAAATAAAAAGTACACACATAAAGTGTGATTAGTTTAAATTATGTCTTATTCTTAATTCTTGAAACATGTGAAAGTTTCAAGTTTCCTGACACCAAAAAAACTTGAATTGCAAGCATGTATGGAAGAACTTTTGCAATTTCCAATTTGTTCAGTCAATTTTAGTCACAAATTTATGAAATAAAAGTCAGCATCAATAGGATTCATCATTGTTCATTGTCTACTCTTACAATATAAATGATATTTCTTTTTAGCATGGCAATATAAGAGGGTCTGGATTGGGGTCTTTATTTCTGTATCATTTTCATGTTGTATAAAAATAAGAAGATGTGGAATGATTGCCAATGAGACAACTCTCAGCAAGTGACCAAATGACACAAAATTAACAACTATAGGTCAACATATGGCCATCAACAATTAGTAAAACCCATACCACAGTCAGCTATTAAAGGCCCTGAAATGACAAATGTAAATTCAAAGGAGAAAATAAATCTATGTACAAAATAACTACTGAATTACAGGTTCCTGACTTGGGACAGACACATACAGAATGTGACGGGGTAAAACTAGTGTGAAGGCACGCCAACCCTCCCCCTAACCTGGGACACTGGTGTAACAGTACAACATAAGAACAAACTATAAAAATCAGTTAAAAAGGGCTTAACTCATCAGATCAATACAAAGCAAATACATCTAACAACTAGAGCCTCTTAAGAGCCTGTGTCGCTCACATTGGTCTATGTGCATATTCAACAAAGAACTCTTTCCAACATTGTAGACGAGAATAGAATTCATGACAAAAACCTTTTGTTTTGTTGATCTTACAGTGCAAGTGAGACATCTATTCATAAACCAAAGGACACGATGTGGGGATAACTATTAAGTGAGCCCTGTCCAGCTGACATGAATACCTTGCATTGATTTTGTATACTTAATACACTTATTCTTAATAAATGAAAAAAAAATCACATGATAAAAAAAATAGGTTTTAAACAAGGAAATGAGTTCAAGGACAAGGAAAAATGTCCAACAGAAGTTTCAGACCCTAAGGCATCTGTAAAAAATATTTGGATTATCCAGCACTTCTTTCTTCTGATATATAAAGATTTATAAACAAGAATAGTACACGGATGCCACACTCGCACTATCATTTTCTATGTTCATTGGACCGTGAAATTGGGGTCAAAACTCCAATTTGGCATTAAAATTAGAAAGATCATATAATAGGGAACATGTGTACTAAGTTTCAAGTTGATTGGACATTAACTTCATCAAAAACTACCTTGACTAAAAAATTTAATTTGAAGCCGGCACTATCAATTTCTATGTTCAATGGACCATGAAATTGGGGTAAAAACTCTAATTTGGCATTAAAATTAGAAGGATCATATCATAGGGAACATGTGTACTAAGTTTCAAGTTGATTGGACTTCCAACTTCATCAAAAACTACCTTGACCAAAAACTTTAACCTGAAGCGGGTACTATCATTTTCTATGTTCAGTGGACTGTGAAATTGGGGTCAAAACTCTAATTTGGCATTAAAATTAGAAAGATCATACCATAGGGAACATGTGTACTATGTTTCAAGTTGATTGGACTTCAACTTCATCAAAAACTACCTTGACCCAAAACTTTAACCTGAAGCGGGACAGACGGACGAACAAACGGACGCACAGACAGAAAAACACATGCCCCTAGGTGGGGCATAAAAACATGTTTTGTCCTTGCGTAAAATACATTTGGCACTTGCACACAATGATTGTTAATGTTCAAGTGTAGTAATATTTTTATCCTATTAAAATACATTACTTCGTTGGTTAGAAGACATTTATGAATTATACGTTATTTTGTCTTTAAAATCTAAAGGGTTTTTAAAAATATTTTTTTATCATAGTTCCAGACTGTGTACAGTGTATTTGAAAAAGGGGATAAAATGAAAACAGTAAAGAAGCCCTTAGCTATTTGAAGTCGCTGAAACCGGATTACTTGCCTGTTATGTTTGTTTTATTAGTTTACTAATAGATTAAAGGAGGACGGGTTGAAGAGCCATGCCATATATTCATTCGCATGTCCCAAGTCAGAAACCTCGTCAGTTGTTCTCTTATGTTATAATGTCATCTTCTGTTATTTGGGAATCGAGTGTTTATTACAGATGTTTGACTATTTCTGTTTAATTGATTAACAATTGTAATAGACTATGAACGAATTAGAAAAAAGTAAAATCACAAAAATACTGAACTCCGAGGGAAATTAAAAAAATTACCTAATCAAATGGCAAAATCAACAGCTCAAACACATCAAACGTATGGATAATAGAGTGTATAGAGCGTAACATCTTATATAGATTCCTGTCTTTTGTTGAAGACTGTATATTGCTTAGGCCTTTTTGTTACTTTTGACGCTGGGTTGCAGTCTCATTGATGTATACCCAAAATCTACTTTTATTATGGCACTCTCAACAGAGTTGGGGTGACATATAGTTATTCTACGTTTCAATTTTCTTATTTTTATTTTTATTCCACTTTTTTGTCCAACTTATATCTTGGAATTGAATGAACAAATTTGAATGGAACTATACAAAAATGTTAACCAGCTTGTGAAAATTTGCAATCGGATATTGCATTTTCAAGATGCTACCCTTGGTATGGAAACCGAAAAAATGAGAAAAAAAAATTTATTATAATTAAATCTTTTAATATAAGACCTAACTGAATGAAACTTTATGGAAATGTCACCTGGTATCCCTAGATGCGCAGACAGTATTTAGAAATTCCGAAATGGCCACCACTGTCATGGAAACAGGGAGAAAGTTTAACATTAAACCTATGGGAAAATACATTAAAGCAGCATTGTCTTAAAGAATATTACATCAAACACAAAATGGGCCGTCGTAAACGTTAAGGGAGATAACTACAACCATAGAATAGCTTGTGATTTATGTTTTCACTTATAGTTATGATTTTATATGTAATAATACTAAATTGATTTGTAAAGAGATTTTTGTTTCTCTAATTTTTGTGCTATTTTCACATCTCTTTACCAGTGTGAGAAAAATGATTATATGGGAGAATCAAGCAAACATCTGTGGAAAATCCCCCCTCCCTCCTGCTGTTTCAATAAACAAGAAGTTCAAGGTTTAGTTTTTTAGATTTCCTGTGCAGAGTCTGAAATTTGTAGTGACTTTTTATCAAGAAGTGTTTAACAAAAACATATATATATATATATATATATATATATATATATATTATTAATCATTTAAATAGTGATTTTTACTGGGAGAATCTTGCAAAAGAATTTATCACTTGGTAATACTGATTTACAAAAAAATTGAAGGTTTGAAGGTCTTTGGTGGAATTTTTTAAAAATCATTCTTGAATTTTTTATAAAGTACAATGAAATGAAATAAATTATACTTTATAAAAGGAAACAGACCAACAACAAAAACAACTCCAGCAAGGTACAGCAGAAATAAAGTTACAACTGTCCAAATTAAGTCGATCTTGGTCCATTAAATGCTTCAGTAGTTCATATTGTGCTTAATATTATCTATTTTAACAGATCTATGCAAGCCAGACTAAAGTCTGGTTTTCATGGTGGATGTTGCATTGATTTTTTAACAGATTATTTGAAAATTGCCCTTATTCTATATAAAGCTTCAGAGGTAGTAATTATTATGGTAGGGCAAACATTATATATACATAGACTAGCTTACTTCCAGCATCATAGCAGACACAAAAGGAAGGTAGGAAAAGGTACACTGTGCAGGTAAAACAGTTTTTCTGCAGCCCACCACTAGGTGGGGGCATCATCTGTGTCCTATGGACACATTCTCCATTAATTTCTTAAATATTTTACAATTAAGATAATCATGACACTATATAAGGATTTTTAATTGAGCTTGATGGAAATTGTCTGGACTTATACAGTGCTAAACCAAAATATTTCTATAAAATGTGATAGGGTGGCATAAAAGAGATTCTTTTCAGAGGATGGGGGTAGTCAGTACAAATTTCTTAAACTACATCATGTTCATATTGATAAAACCACAAAAATTCAACATGATCAATGATGCAAACAAAAACTTTGATTAGAGTTGCAGACTTCTATCATGTCTATAGATTGAATAGCAAAAAGAAAATGTGCATTCAAAAATTTCAGGAGTACAAATACTTTTTTCTGAAGCATCTTTATCATGTTTATACACAGGCACTAGACGTTCTATCAATAATAATAAAATATGGGCAATAGAGTCTGTGCTTTATATTTGGTTTAATTTTTCAATACGTTAAAAAATATAGAAAAAAGTAATTATTTAAGGAAAAAAAAAGATATTAAAAATACAGTCAATATATCAGTATAATGCAAAACTGCATTAAATAAATTGGAATTGAAATAAAATCAAAAGTAATTTACATGTAATATATGAGGGGCCTGATGGGTTATTTTCGCTATCGTGATCGGCGCATTTTTGCTATCGTGATCCGTTTTTCTACAGATTTAATTTTTTTTTATATTTTCGTGATCCTTGATCATGGAAATTTATTTTCTGTGAATCGTGATTGACAAAAAAATCAACTTGTGAATCGTGATGAGACCCCCCCCCCCCCCCAAATCAGGCCCCTCATATAATTATAAATCATAATAAAACCAAATAAAGGACAAAACAATGAATATAAATATCATTAAAATAATATGTACATAATTTTGTGAGCTCCCCGTGTTTTCTTTTTATTGATATTAAATTAGGTTTACAATAGAAGTTTTCAACTTAAAATAATTTGAAAGTGAAACAATGCAACTTCTTATATTTTTTTCTTTCCAGTGAGTCATTTTATCAAGAAGCGTCTGTTTAAAATTATCTTTTGTCACATATGTTTGGAAATTTAAATAACAAAAAAGGAACAAAAGCTATTGTTCTCATTATTGTGCAGATTAATTATCGCGGTTTATTTGTTTGGAAATATAATTTGGGCGCTAAATTACGGTAATATTTATAAAAAAGTAAATTTATATTTCATTTGCAACGTACTTCACAGTCATGAATGATAAAAACAAGCTTGCATTTATCAAAGTTCAACTCGGGTGATGTACAAACAAAGGGTCTAAAGTTTAGTAAACTTTGTCACATGGCCTTTCAACAGGTAAACAATGCAACTCCGTCAACTATTTTACAAGATTTCAATTGCATGACTTCAATTTTCTTCGTTATAAATTAACCAGTGTGTGAAAAGGCATTTAAACAATATATTTTTGCAACTTTAATAACTATTTCTATCCTAATTTCTTAAATTCATAAAATTTTACCTGTGCAAAACTCCTTTGTCGCGTTCAAAACCAAAGCCATTTTCACCTTTCACCCCAAACTTAATCTGTGTACTGCTGACGCTTTCCGCTTTCAATACATATAATCGATTTCACGAAGCGCTTTCCTGATACACGCAACCACCTGTGAATGATCTATAGACCAATCAAATTAAACTTGATACCAGCGGCGGGAAATACACGATTCTTTGTCCATCAAATATGCAATTAACAGAATCACGGTTGAGTGATTCATAATAGCAATTCACGTAGCATGTCCCCAGGCTAATCTTAATACACAAAGCATTAATTTACACAACATTGCAATCAATACTCCAAGGTAATAATCTCCTTGGGCTTTATTTATATTATAATTTTTCACGTGTTGATATTTTTATTTTACATAAATAATTTCAGAAATTGAGACTCGTACATTTCCTTTTATCTGAGGTGTATGAATCCTACTGCATTTGTGTAAGATATTTTTGTTCAGTCATTAAATTATCATCATTATTTTTATTTTTACTATTAATAGTTTTATTTGTTGGCGTTTTCGTTATACATTAAGCCTGGACGATAGACTTCCTTTCTAATACTGTCAGATGAGATTTTGTATGTATTCTTACATAAACACGTATATATATTTATTTTGTTTATTCACATATAATGTCGATTACCACCCCATCTATTCCCGTTTTTCCTGATCTTAAAAAATCACGGAGTATCCTTAAAGTTTGTGTGGCATTAATTACTTGCTATTTTACATATAACTTCACATTTATAAACTGTAAATCTTAATAATGTCTCTCGTCCCCATTGTTCTTAAAACTTTGATAAACGAAAACAATAAATATTTATTTATGATATAATTTAATGTTTCAAAAAGAAACACATTTATTTTATGATCGAGAAAAAAAATATAAATCTTTAAAATATTCCATTTATGTCATCCATATACCTAAAATCAAATGATAAAAAGATTAATCATTGCGAAAACATATTGATCAATATTACGTAATCAGTTATTTTAACCATATAACTCTACCGAGGTTCGTTCCGGGTAAAGTCATTGTAAAACATGTAATGTATTAGCCGGGCCCGGGGATGTGTAATATCTTTTGATTGCCGGTGTTATTACAAAATAATCACATTTCTGACAGATTGTGTTTTGTTCATGTAATATTATGTATTGAATTACAGCCATTAGCGCTCTGACGCGATGTTTGTTTACCTATTCTTGGATTTTTCATACCCTGCAGGTGCGCGGTGTTCGTCACAGAAAAATGACGCAAGGTTTCACCTTTTGTAATGACCATTGATTTAGATAAGTTTATTTATCTTTATTATCTTATATTGTACATATATGTTAGGGGTTTTGTTTGAGAAAAGACTTTGTGTTAATATTTGATCATTTAAAGTAGTAATTTAAATAATTATTATGGAATGTTTAAAGAAAGACAATACATTCATAGGAAAAAGTTTTGTGACAATAAATGTGTTGAAAAGGCACGAGAGATCAAGAGAAAAGATCCGAAGTGATATATATTTATATACATCGAAGTATATCATTGAAAAGAAAAAAATTCACATGCAAACATTTCAAGTTTTTCAGCGTTATTTTGCAAGGTTAGATTCAGACCAAGACTGTCTTTCCATACTCTAAAATATAACTTGACCCTCCGAAATGATTTTATACAACTGAGTTTTAGAATTTCCTTTTGCATTTTTTTTTAAAGAAATATACGGAAATCTTCAACCGTCATATATGAAAAACCAACGAAACGTAAACGTTTGCATAGATATATATACTGTATTTCCAACCGCCTTAAAAACAGTATATTTCACAAGTAACATGACAAGACACAGATAAGATATTGTCCGCATATGAACTTTCATGATAGTTTAACAATAATATAAAAAAAATCATAAAGGGTTCTGCAGAACCCTGCACTGTGTCTCGCCTGCGATCGCTGCTGTCAGTGTAAAAGTGTAATGTTGACTTTATAAAAGGAGGTACATTTATGAGTCAAATTCAGATTTTTTTAAATCATTTTTTTTCTTCTTCAGATTGATTATGGAGATTAGCTTTTGTCCAAGTGTCATAACAATCCATGAGGGTTTTCAAATTTATCATGTCAAACAAATTTAATCCCACACTGTTTCTACATGATAAAAAAACCCGGCGGAGGACATTTTAGCGCATTGATACATGAAGAACATTTTAGTGCTAAAGCATTTTAGCGCAAGAGATTTAACCCATTTTAGCGAAAAGTGAAATAATCAATGCCCATTTTAGCGACAGAAATTAGTTCTATTAGAATAATCAATTAAAATAGTACCAAGACAGCAGAACATAAAAATATCAGGTCCAATTAAATTGCACTCAATGTCTAAAAAGTTACTCAAATGTTACACGTCCGCTTAAGCCTGGACTAAAGATCATAGTGAACGTGCGTAATGGGTCTCTTGATATGTCCCCGGAACAATATACTGTTCATAAAATTGCAATAGGAACCGTTCTTTCTATTTATCATGTCTAAATTGAGATGCAAATTCATCGATATTTCTTTTTTTTTATATATATATATATATTGTTATTTGATAATAGTATTTTTGCTTTCTGTTGTAAGAAAAAATGACCGACATACAAGTGGTCCTCCCTCTTCATTCCTGCCAAATTTCTTATATTATATACATATATATGGAGGATTTTAAGCACACGAAGACCTAGTGAATCTCTAAACATGCCTAAAGTGTTATTCATGTAATGTACATAGTTTTGAATGAAAATAACAACTGTGAATGCTTGTTTTGAGGTATTCAATTTTTATAATTTAAGGATTTTAAGAGTCAAGTCAACACCTCCCATGGGAGTTATAAATAGGGACTTTTTCTGCTCAAAGGACTAGAAAAAACTATGACCTTTACTTAGTGTCTGTCGGCAATTAACAAGGTAAAATGAAAGAAGAATGCATATAAGTATACCCTGTCACGTCCGCTCTGTGTTTTTGTTAGATGTAATTCTGCTTTGTATCCATCTGATGATTTTTAGTTTGTTCTTATGTTGTACTGTTACACCACTGTCCCATGTTAGAGCAGGGTTGGCGCCTTCAAACTAGTTTAACCCCGCCACATTCTGTATGTGCCTTTCCAAAGTCAGGAGCCTGTAATTCAGTGGTTTCGTTTGTTGCTGTATATCATATTTGTTTTTCGTTCATTGTTTTGAACATAAATCAGGCCGTCAGTTTTCTCGTTTGAATTGTTTTACATTTGTCATTTCGGTGCCTTTTATAGCTGACTATGCAGTATGGGTTTTACTCATTGTTGAAGGCCGTACGGTGACCTATAGTTGTTTTCTGTGTCATATGGTCTCTTGTGGAGAGTTGTCTCATTGGCAATCATACCACATCTTCTTATTTTTATATATATGAGGGTCTAGATAGGGTTTACAGTAAAGAGAATAATGGCCAAAAATATAATGAATAGAGAAAAATGAACAAGAAAATTAAAGAACAGAGGATAATGGAGTGCAAAAGTATAAAGAATTACGGTTGAAAATAAAATTATTTGGTAATACAATACTTATTACAGAAATGAACGATATACAGAATAAAGAAATCATAAATTGTAAAACAAAATAGTAAAATCATTTTCATGAGAATTTTAAAGAATAGGCGTTATTTTTAAAGATAAAGAAAAATGCTCTAAAAATTTAAAAAATACAGAAATTAACGACCCCCATCAAAACCCTCACATATAAACACGGATGCCCTGTTCCAAACAGATAAATAAATTCAACACACCAAACCAACAAAGAACAATTTTTAGACGTAATGTCGGAAAAGGCAAAACTATATACATCAAGACTGCCTGTAGATGCATGATTTTATACCAAATTTCTCATCTGAAATCACCTTCACTGATATCAATTTGACTGAAATAATAACTTTGTTTTGTTGAAATCGTGGGCCGTCCAATAAATGAGCTAGGTAAGGGGTAAATTCTTGGTCGGCTGGTAAATAGGACGTCGGATTTAATGGTTTTCGGCCGAGAAGAAAAATCCCATTTAAAGACTTCTATCAATATCTTTTTGAAAGGTCAGTAATTGACCTGTTCTAAGAAAATGTTTTACTAATCATTTCAACGCTTCTATTCCGGTCGACCCTTTTTGCAGACTATACTGTATTCATTAATAGTTTATATTTGACATTATACGTTAAGCAAACAACAATCGTAAGAAGACCTGTCTGTACACCTTATTGACCGCAGATCTATATTGGAGGGTCTGAATGGTCCTTCGTGTCTTGATTCCTTAATTTTTAACACCTTTTTTCACTGTACATCTTTATTAGCTCACCTTGCCCAAAGGGCCAAGTGAGCTTTTCTCATCGCTTGGCGTACGTCATCGTCGCCCATCGTCGTCAACTTTTACAAAAAATCTTCACTTCGGAAACTACTGGGCCAAATATTTAATAAAACTTGGCCACACTCATTATTTGGGTATGTAGTTTACAAAACGTGTTTGATGACCCAACGGGTCAACCAACATGGCTGACATGTCTAAAATAGAACATAGAAGTAAAATGCAAGTGTTGTCTATTGTCTTGAAAACCGCTATAAATAAAGAAAATTTGACTGGAACAGAAATGTTCAGAACGATGAGATCTACCTATTCCATCAAAACTGTCAGACGACTTCTTATAGGAGTTATATTGGCCTTAAAAGACGAATTTAGAGAGATAGAAACTTAAACAAGCAAAAATTATCATGAATAAAAGAATTACAAATAATTCAACATGGTTGTAATTGTCCAATGACCACTTATTGTAGTAATTGCCCTTTAATGACCATGTTTAAAATTTTTGCATTATTGCCTATAATATCTGAACTATAATAGATAGATAGAAACTTAAAAAAGCAATTGGACAAATACTGAAGAAGATTGAGAGAAACTGTAAACAGAGAAATGATCAGCAAAACAAGATCAACAAATAACACATCTTTTTTCATGAACTCTATTCTAGTCCACAATGTTGGAGAGTGTCCATTGTTGAAGACGCACATAGACATATAGGCGACACAGGCTCTAAAAGTTTATTTTTCTCATCATTCTCTATTTTATCACCCCATTATTTTCTATTGTTTATGTATTTTGCCTAATTTTCTCTATTCTTTGTTTTGTTTGCCCTTCATTTTGCATTTTTTGTTCGTTATACTTTATTCTGTAAACCCCATCCAGACCGTCATATTAAAGTAAAAATACGTGACTTTGGCTATGAATATTAGACATGTTAGAGAAGGTATGCTAAAGCTGTATCTCGAAGACCAATACAAAAACAATTCGTCGTTTTAGACAAGCAACTGTTACAAGAGGACCATTTATCCGCCATTATTGAAAGTTTATTTAGTTGTCAATACTGAAGAAACCAGATTAAAAATGGTCCATTTGAGGGTGGTTCAAAAAGTAGTCATAAAACAATGAGTGCGGTGCTGCTGCTTAAGAATGAGACATCTTACTGGTCATCTCTACACTGGTACACATCTCTACACTCTGTTAGTAAGCGAAACAAAATAAGGATCAGTTACATATATATTTTGATCAGATACAGTAAAGTTTCAAAAGAGACAATCTACTAGCAAAATTCGTTTCCTCCAGGACAAATTTATTAATAATTGTTTTCACTTAGGAAGAAATGCATTTTTCAGCCATATATCGCTTACTTCCTACTTCCTCTTTTAACGCTCATTAACCATCTTGGTAGTATGGTCACTCACCTTAGTTCTTCCTAAGCCATGCTTGAAGCAACCGATTATTCATCATCTCGGGAACGATAGTACGCATTGCAGAAGTCTCTGTTGTACTTAATGACTTGTTTTATCCTACTAAAGTCAAACAGTATCGAATGACAACAATTAAATTGCTGGAAACATTATACCTGAACATTTCTTTCCGTTTCGTATTATTCATAAAACAAATATATTTTATCTATATAAAAATAAGAAGATGTGGTATGATTGCCAATGCAACCAAATGACGAAGAACTTTACGACAACTATAGGTCACCGTACGGACTTCAACAATGAGTAAACCCGTACCACATAGTCAGCTATAAAAGGCACCGAAAAGACAAATGTAAAATAATTCGAACGAGAAAACCAATGCCCTGATTTATGTACAAAATAATAAAATAAATAAATATATGATATACAGCAACAAAGACAACCACTGAATTACAGACTCCTAACTTGGGAAAGGCACACACATAATGCGACGGGGTTAAACATGTTTGCTGAATCCAAAACCCTCCCCTAGTCTGGGACAGTGGCGTAACAGTACACCAGAAGAAATATCTATAATAAACTGTAGACACAGAGATATGTCTCGCCTTTTTGTAAGTTTTTATAGTATAATGAAAACATTGAAACCAAAATGGCAATATTCAAACATGCAAACTATGCAAAACATCCAAAGTCAATGAACCATGACTTAAGGTACAGGACCAAATAACCTCCATGGAAATTTGAAATGCCCATGCGTATAAAACTGCTTACTAAATACCATTGACTTATCATAAGTGGTTTCCTTTACACTGACTTAAACATAAACTTAAACTTGTAAACAATGTAAAAGTTTCAAAGTCAATGATCCATGATGAGGCGGTGGAGCCGTATAATCTCCATGGAAAAGAAGTCTTACAAATGCTTATATAACTGCATACCAAATATCATTGACTTAACATTAGTGGTTCCTCTTAAACTGATCAAATCATGTAAACTATATGCAAAACATTTAAAGTAAATAGACCATGACACGGCGGAGCCAAATCATCTCCATGGAAATGAGATGTGCCGTTGCTATTATGCATCTGCATACCAAATATCATTGACCTACCACTATTGGTTCCCCTTAAACTGATCTAATCACAAACTAATACATGTTTTAAAAGTAAGCAAAAATTTCAAAGTCAATAGACCATGACTGAGGGGGCGGGGCCAAATAATCTCCATGGAAATGAGAGGTGCCACTGCTAAAACAACTTCATACTATATATCATTGACATACCACTAGTGGTTCCTCATAAACTAAGTTAACCTAATCACAACCGAATTCATTGTTGACGCTGCCGCTGCCGCCGCCGTCGTCGGGAACAGCATACCTAAGTCTCGCTTTCAGACTCCGTCAAGGCGAGACAGAAACCAGTTGAAAAGGGCTTAACTCATCAGATCGACAAAAAGCACAAAAAAACTAACAAAACACAAAGACACAAAGTACGGATCTGAGAGTACTGAAAGCTAGTTCAAAGCCAATAACAACTAATATAAGATCATATATCCAAGACTAAAGTATCAAACAGAACACGTCTACATCCAATGGATTTAGAAGACATCATTAACAGTGGAGAAAGACATGACCATGTGCAATGTCAAAATATAGGTAACGACAGATTGTCCTTATAGAGTTCCAGTTAGTACATTTAATAGTATATTTAGTTGCAATAAAACTACCAAAAACTAACTAGTATATCTTTGTAGACAAGGTTTTAAATTAAATTATATCGAGGGTCAGCTCGCTTTTCAAAGACATTAAGCATGCCATTGGGAATCATGCAGATGTGTGATACAGCCGTTTTTACACTTTTTTTTAGTAATACGATGACTGCAAACTTAATTAGATATAGGAAGATTAAACCTATATGTACTAATTGAAATATTAAACACAATTCTTTAAATGTAATAAATATGTTGGAGATGCATTATTAACGTATAAATTTAAAATCCTCTCTTATGTTTACATATTTATTTAAACTTAATTGTTTGAATTTGTGTGATTAATATAATCATAAAAATATAAATAATTAAACTGCATAGGTCATTGATGTGAAATACCGATAAATACTTTTTTTCAAGGAAAATGGCATTACATAAAAGTTGGCAGAACTGTGCATAACATAAGACTAATCATAACACATTGAACAGATATCCACTAAATGTCTCATTTCCTTGAAATTAAACTTATTCAGACGCAAAATGATATGACTGAGATCTTATATGTAGGAGACGAGCGTTGCAATAGCATGTTGGTGAATTTTGGAAAATCAAAATGGCGTCTGATCATCTTCCGGTAACTCAAATACTGGTGGATTATTTGGATTGATTCGTGGTATCCTTCCATACCTAAAATATCAATTAAATGAATGCCGTTAAAGATTTTAACCTGAAATTTTCAAAGCAAATAATTCAACATTTGCATAAATTTGAGAAGGGAAATGGGGACTGTGTCAAAGAGACAACAGCCCGACAAAAAAAACCCCCCAAAAAACAACAGAAAACAGCCCAAGGCCACCAATGGGTCTTCAACACAGCGAGAAAATCCCGCACCCGGAGACGGGCTTCAGCTGGCCCCTAAACAAAAATGTGTACTAGTTCAGTGAAAATTGACGTAACACTAAACTCCGAAACATATAAATGAACTAAAATTAAAAAAACATACAAGACTAACAAAGGCCAGAGGCTCCTGACTTGGGACAGGCGCAAAAAAGCGGCGGAGTTAAACATGTTTTGTGAGATCTCAACCCTCCTATACCTCTAGCCAATGTAGAATAAACAAACACACAGCAATACGCACAGTAAAACTCAGTTTAAAAGAAGTCCGAGTCCGATGTCAGAAAAGGTAACAGAAGAAACTAAGCAAAATGACTATGATACATAAATTAACAAATGACTACTAGCAGTTACTGACATGCCAGCTCCAGACCTCAATTAAACTGATTGAAAGATTATGTCTTCATCATATGAAAATTAAGCACAATCCCTCCCGTTAGGGGTTTAGTATCATACCATAATAAAATATACGAGAAAAACATAACCCGTATCATGCCAACAACTGGTTTTAGAATAAATGTGTTTATTTCCAATGCAAAGACCCTATGAGTGAATCAATATTAATTCCAAAATATGCTATCTTTAATGACTTGACAACAGTATCATAACTATATCCCTTCTGAATAAGTCTGTTTAAAGGTTTGGTTAGCTTTTGAGGCCAATGACGACATTTTTGTGCTTTGTATAGAATATTACCATAAAAGATTGGATGTAAAATACCTGAACGTGTAAGATGTCTGCATGTTGATTTATATTTACGAATGATGTCCATGTACCGATGATAAAATTTAGTAAATGTTTTGACTAGTTTGTAATATCGAAAACCCTGGTGTAATAATTTGTCAGTAATACAGAGATTTCTTTCGTTAAAATCAAATACGTTGTTACATACAAGAGCGAATCGAACAAGTTGAGATATATAAACACCATAAGATGATGACAAGGGAACGTCACCATCTAAAATTGGATAATTAACAGTAGGAAATGAAAAATCATCTCTTTTGTCGTAAATTTTGGTATTAAGCTTCCCGTTAAAAATATAGATATCAAGATCCAGGAAAGGGCAGTGTTCATTGTTAGTATTATTTTTATTTAAAGTCAGTTCAGCAGGATAAATCTCTTTAGTGTACAAACTGAAGTCGTCATTATTGAGAGCCAATATATCATCCAAATATCTAAACGTGTTATTAAATTGTTGTATCAGATGTTTGTTTGTCACATTCTCATTAAGAAAAAATTCACACACCTAATTAAATGGGCATTTAAAAAGTCAGAATGTGAATATATATGTTCAAACTCTTTTAGGTCATTTTTTAGTAGCAATAAACAAAAAAACTATGTCAATTGGACATGCTTTGATACTATATATGCCCTTGAATTTTTACTAGATAACATTTTTGTTTGCTTTGGAGATTCCGTATATCGTCAGGTTATCGGAATTCCAATGGGGACTAACTGTGCACCACTTATTGCGGACCTTTTTTGTATTGCTATGAGTTACAATTTATGACAAAAATCAGTAAAGACCCATCGAAACAACATCTGATACACAAATTTAATAATACTTTTAGATATTTGGATGATATTTTGGCTCTCAATAATGACGAATTCAGTATGTATACTAAAGAAATTTATCCTGTTGAACTTACTTTAAATAAAGCTAATACTAACAATGACCACTGCCCTTTCCTCGATCTTGATATCTATATCATTAACGGAAAGCTTAATACTAAAATATATGATAAAAGAGATGATTTTTCATTTCCTATCGTTAATTATCCATTTTTAGATGGTGACGTTCCCTTGTCACCATCTTACGGTGTTTATATATCTCAACTTGTACGATTCGCTCGTGTATGTAACAATGTTTTAGATTTTAACGAGAGAAATTTATGTATTACTGAAAAATTATTACACCAGGGTTTTCGATATCACAAACTATTCAAAACATTTACTAAATTTTATCATCGGTATAAGGACATCATTCGTAAATATAGCTCAACATGCAGACTTCTTATACGTTCGGGTATTTCACATCCAATTTTTTATGGAAATATTCTTTATAAAGCACAAAAATGTCAGTATTCACCTCTGAAACTAACAAAACCTTTAAATAGACTTATTAAGAAGGGATATAGTTACGATACTGTTGTCAGGTCATTAAAGATTGCATATTTTGGCGTTAATATTGATTCACTTATAGGGTCTTTGCATCGGCACTAAACACATTTATTTAAAAACCAGTTGTTGGCATGACACGGGTTATGTTCTTCTCATATATGTTATGATGGTATGATACTAAACCCCTAACGGGAAGGATTGTGCCTGATATTCATATGATGAAGACATAATCTTTCAATCAGTTTAATTGAAGTCTGGAGCTGGCATGTCAGTTAACTGCTAGTAGTCTGTTGTTATTTATGTATTATTGTCATTTTGTTTATTTTCTTTGGTTACATCTTCTGACATCAGACTCGGACTTCTCTTGAACTGAATTTTAATGTGCGTATTGTTATGCGTTTACTTTTCTACATTGGCTAGAGGTATAGAGGGAGGGTTGAGATCTCATAAACATGTTTAACCCCGCCGCATTTTTGCGCCTGTCCCAAGTCAGGAGCCTCTAGCCTTTGTTAGTCTTGTATTATTTTTAATTTTAGTTTCTTGTGTACAATTTGGAGTTTAGTATGGCGTTCATTATCACTGAACTAGTATATATATTTGTTTAGGGGCCAGCTGAAGGACGCCTCCGGGTGCGGGAATTTCTCGCTGCATTGAAGACCTGTTGGTGGCCTTCTGCTGTTGTCTGTTCTGTGGTCGGGTTGTTGTCTCTTTGACACATTCCCCATTTCCATTCTCAATTTTAGTAAGTAGAATAGACAGTTTTGTAGTGGAACAATGGCTTGAAGACGAAATAGATCTATATTTGTAAGGTGTTTTGTGCAGCTACGGAAGCCAGTACATAGTTGGAACTCTCATTGTATTTGGTTCTGCTTGTAAAGAGGTAGCTAAAAGTTTATGTTTTTTACAGATGTCATTTTCCGAAAATGAAGTCAGTTTGAATGTTGGTGAATTCGTGATTTCCTTTTGTAGAACCTCAATGTAAAATTTACGTCAAATAATAATGATATCATTGGCAGCCTTATCAGCCGGGACAAAAGCAAATTCCTTGGCGAGTTCTTTTAATTTATGGTTGATACGAGAAAGAGGGCTATTATGGTTGTTGTTAGGCGTAAAATGTTCTTTAAAATGTTTAATACGAATATCAATTATGTTCATTACTGAATTAAAAAAAGAATCGAAGGATTTTTTGTCAGCTTTTTCTCGTTTTATCCATTTCGTGCAGTAAGTACGGAGTGAGTCGTGGATGATGTTACGATACTCATTCCAATTTATAATTGACAGGCGGCAAAATGTAAATTTGAAATGATAAAATATGATTGACCCCCCCCCCCCCCTTTTCAAAATGTGTTAAAAAATTTAACCCCCCCCCCTCTTTCAACTACATAAAAACTTTTGACCCCCTCTCTTTTCTGATTATAATTGAAAGGATATGTTGCTAATATTCCTAGTAAGGTATTTCAATACACATACACAGAGAATTCATTGAGGACAATATCATATAGAAGCATACCCTGATGTAACTTCACAGTCTTTATCAAGCCAAATGCTCATTGTTTCAAGAAATAGTGTCAAGTTTTTTTGACATAAATACAATGCAATGAACTATAATATCAACAATTAGTTTATATTAAAATATTATTATAAAACAATAAAACCATAATAATCTCAAATCAGCATTTTGATTGCTATTTCAAATCACAAATTTTGTATTTTTTATTGAAAATACCCTTTAATATAATAAAATTGCTCTATATTAAAAAAAAATCATGAGACAGTATATCATATATGTGAAGTGCACATCTTATAAAGTTAAACAAAATATTCATTTATAGTGAAGATCCCAACACCAAAGGTTTTTTTTCCAAAACAATTAAATGAATACAGTATCTTAGACTAAAAGTATTTTCAAAATGTCAAAATTTCCAATATATTTTATACAAAATCAGACTTTAAAAAGTGGCATATTTAGCTCGGTATTCATCCAATGATATGCACCATCTCGTCAAACTCAAAACTAATTGGAGTTTAAGTTGGTTACTAGTATTTAATTATGATTTTGTCATTTACAGTTTAAAAGAGTAAAACATTTGAAATTTGTTTGATATCTGAGCATTACTTTTTATTGTATTCATACAGAATGTCAGGATGTCTTTTTTCAAGTAAGAGATGTTGAAATGAAGCTTTTCCTGGCCTTTCAATAATTTCTTGTATTATAAATGATTCATTTCCACATTGTCGCTCTCTACTCTGACAGAAGAGGGAGGGTCTTCAACAATGAACAAATCATTCATATATTTATTTATATTGGAAATCTATATGAGGTATATTTAAGATATGGAATAAAAATAAGAATAAAATGCTTTGAAAAATGTCTTTAAAGAATATTTTTTTGTACACATAAAACAATAGTTTGTAAAATATATGAGTTCATCTTGAAAAACAAAAAGGTGTCACCTTCAAAAAGCATAGTCTACTTTTGCTATGGTGAAGCCAGGATTATGAAACCAATTTTATAGTCTCTATTCCTAGTTTCTTAGTCCTAACAGTGATATTGTTGTCTTTTTTCAAAACTACCTCTACCGTTTTTTATTGGGAAAAATGCATATTTTTTATTGAAATTGGGAAATTTGTATATTTTATTCTAAACACATTTCCGATTTTTTGCCGACCTTTGCAGTCTTTTTTGCACTGTTTTTTCATGTATATTTTGATTGTCAGACATTTTCAACCTGAAAGGTACTTTTCTAAGAGGGGAAAGAAACAGAAGCATTGATGGTACTTAATGCATTGAAAACCACATGTGTTACAAACACCATGATGATTCTGATCATAAACCGGATCTCAAAAGTGCTTTCTAATATCAAAATAATATCATGAATACGATATTTACAATCATTACTACCAATGCCATCACTGTTTGGGGAAAATGTAAAACTTTTTGGGAGGAATTTTAAACCAATTTATTTTAGTGATTGGGAATTTTCTCTAGGGGAAAAAGCCGAATTTCGGCTGTAATTTGAGGCAAACAATATCACTGTCCTATAACATCGTGGCTAAGAAAAACATAGAAAAGTGACTAATTTTGCACATTTTTTGGTAATATTCATAAGTCACTTGACAATAAAATTAGTCAAAGAGTAAAGTGACTAGCTTTAGCTAGATCACTAATAGTGACAGTTTGATATTTGTGAAAGAGTCAAACTAGGAGACAAGTTAGCTCTGAAGGGCCCAAACAACTATACATGTATAGTCTATGGTCATGGTATATGGCGATCAATGAATCTATGGCCAATAAAATCATGACCCTCCCCCTACTTGATCAACCTGAAAAAGAATGACCCCTCTCTACCAGATTCTATTTTTTTCATGACCCCCTACTTTTTTGCCGCCCTCCCCCCCCCCCCCCCCCCGGAGATGAATAATGACCGGTCCCTTACTAAGGAAAGATTTCAACTCTCGGTCCTGGACATTGTTAAGGTCTCTGTTATAACATGGGAACTGGAGCCATGAATGTATTTGGAATTAATGCAATTTCATGACGTAGGTGTATTGTCACTGATATTAACATCTTTCACACCTCGCTATAACTAAACACATATTTCCGGGTAGATTTTTTATAAACATAACAAATTAGAGGGAACTCAGTATTATCAAAATAACCAGGAAATTGTTGTTCTTTTACGGAATGATCATTAAAAATGCCGACAATATTTACAAAATCAAAACCTTAATTGACATATTTGACTTTAATGAAATGTTTTTTTGTGGTCTTCAGGGCGATCAATTTTGGGAAACAGTTTAGAATAACAATATGCAATTATAATTTAGACGATTTCATACTTGGGACTGCAATTTATTAACAGGTAAAGAACAGAGCTTGGTTAACAGATAATGTCTGCCGTTATTTTTTGAAATAGTAATTATATGTCCGAAATATTTGTGTTCAGTCTAAAATCAATCGTTGATAACAGATATCCTGATTTTCCATTTTGATAAACACTTCATTTAAAAATACCATCAAAACATAATTATCTGGCAAATCGTATATTTTAACTTGTTCTCAGGGTAAGTTTGAACACATTTATGTTCCGTAGTTGTTTACCGGAGCGGATCCAGCCATTTTTAAAAGGTGGGGGTTCAAACCCAGGAGAAAGGTGGGGGGGGGGGGGGGTCCAAATATATGTCCCCATTCAAATGCATTGATCGTCAAAAGGGGGGGTTCAACCCCCGACACATCCCCGGAACACCCCCTGGATCCGCCACTGGTTTAGCAGGCGTTTTTTAAAGTTCGAATCCACACAAGACATACATTTTTCAATGTTTGTACCGTCGAATGCGCAGTCAAACATAACAAACATGATTGTATGTCATTTATCAATTTAGCAAGTACAGATATACAAATGCAGCTGAAGTTATTTTACGGTAACCATAATTTACCTACTGATGACTCTACATCTTCAAACGTGCAAAAGACGTGAGAACAAATGTTGTAAAATAGAACTTTTTTCATATCTCACCCAGAATATGCATGAAATATTTGACACTGGACGTTAATCAAACAACAATATATCAATAGTAGAATCAAAAGAAACAACAATGACAATGTATAGCTATTACATTGTATCTGACAGCTTAACATTGCAGCCACACAGAACATAAATGTCTACTGAACTAACGATTGTGTCTACACATTATTTAATCTGAGAAACAATACTCTATAAGAGTTATAAATCTATTGACTACTAAAATGAAGAATTACCTTTCATAATCAAAATTATTCATGGCTTTTAAACTACGATCGCTCCATCGTCTTTCCACAGGTTCATGACAGTTGTTCGTATTCGTGTGACAACACTGACGTTCATCTGGTGACCTGAAAGGCAACAAGTTTATAAGTCCCGATATTTTTACCTCAAACAAACTTTGTTGAAGGCCGTACGGTGACCTATAGTTGTTAATTTCTGTGTCATTTGGTCTCTTGTGGAGAGTAGTCTCATTGGCAATCATACCACATCTTCTGTTTTATATCAAAATGTAGATTTCCTTTTTCGAAAATAAGTTAAATGTAAACTCTATCTGCAAAGAACGTACGTTTTAGTGTGTATATCGACACGTTAGAACCGGCAAATTTACTATGTTCTAAACTTAGAAACAACAAGGGTTTTTGTTTAGAACAAACTTTTGGCTAATTATACACACGATAATTTCATCTTGCTTACGTATAAAGCATAAATATAGCGTGGAATAAAACAATACACATATATACAAATTCAACTTATTAACTGATAAGTATAGGGAACAAACAAGAAGATCTTAAAATTCTGAATCGCTAACCAACTGACAAGCTTATTGTTTCTATATACCTATCTACTTTAGTTTTCGAGATATTTCGCAAAAACTCGAAAGTTACATACACAAGTTATCTGATAATTTTGATGGAAATTAGATCTGGACATTTTTGCTCTTGTTTGGGTTTCTCTATCTATTTTGGTGTTAAAGGAAATAAGCAGTTTATACATTTTATTCTTATGATCTGACGGACATGTTGATTGGAACAACAAACAAAAAAAAACCAATCGTTATACTATAGATACCCCAAAAGATCATTCAGTTCAAGATTGGTCCAGTGCATTCAGGGAATTTTTTGAAAAAGTTAACGACGCAAAGTGATGGTAATAGCTCATATAGACCATAAGGCCAGATGAACTAAAAATGCACTTTACCCCTAAATATATATATATACATTTTCAATAAAACAACTGTTTACCTTTATTTTATTACTGTATGTAGTCGGAACACTTACATCAAACAAATGAATTATTATTCGCTTTCATTATAATGTATACCATGCATTTGTTTTCAATTTACAAAATAGGAAATATAAGAAAGACATTAAATAGAAATTTGCTCGTGTACGTATTATTCTTACCCTGTACTCCATGGTGCATCGTAATCAGCCTCACTTTCACGAGTACTTCCGGTTGATCGAGAATGACTTGACAAACGAGGACGGGGTTGTTGGTAATAAGCAGGGTTTATAAATGTCTCAAATGGCCTAATAATCCCCACCTCTGATCCGTCCTCTGCTACACTAATTACAGCAGGAGGATGGTCTTTTATATCGTGAACATATGTCATAGAATCAACTGACTGTGTACCTAAACCGTCTGTTCTCCTCCTAAAATTGAAAATTAAATCTGATATGATTTTTACAATGCACTTTTATTATTCGGGCAACATTAGGAAAGCTATAAACGGTAGCTGATGTTACTCCCTCATGGCATGCTCTTTGTTATACGGTGAAAGTGATTTTTTATTTGCAAATTTGGTCTTGCATCACACTGCTTAATAAAAAAGCCGTGCTTTTGTGTAACTATGATACACGCCAAAAATATTTAAACATTTAACTTTGTAAATTCTACCACAAAAGCTTCTACAATATTTATTCGTTTGCTCTTAAGTACAATTCTAAAACAAATTGTTAACTTTCTAAATATTGTCCCATTTACGTATCATAACAATCTATAACTTTGAAGGAATAATGTTTACATGCAGGAGACCGCTTAATTTAGACAACAGTAACTGTTGTTGCTCCGCTATACATGCATCTCCCGCCATACCAATATATATATAAGAAGATGTGGTATGAGTGCCAATGAGACAACTCTCCATCCAAGTCACAAAAGTAAAAGTAAACCATAATAGGTCAAAGTACGGCCTTCAACACGGAGCCTTGGCTCACACCGAAAAGCAAGATATAAAGGGCCCCAAAAATTACTAGTGTAAAACCATTCAAACAGGATCCACACTTAGTCAAAATGTCACAATCGGAAATAAGACACCGTTGGTTAATTACACTGTGATCAGTTTCACAAAAAATCTTACGACTGGTATCTATATATAAAGACAGAGGAAGGTTGATGATAGCTCTATGACAGTCTCTGTTAAATTTGTTCACGACTATATCCTAGATTTGAAGATACAACTGCTATTATTGAAGACTGTATGTTATCATCTAGATTGCGTGTTGTGTCGTTGGGGTGCTGTGTCATAAACGTACTTATATCCATACCATTGTGCTCTATATAATATAGGCAACTATTGTAATACATTGGTTCATGTCCTTGTATTTTTTTAACTAGTTTACCTTCGAAGTTCTTTATCACTAAAACATGTTAGTTTTGCTATCAGTATAGTGACTGCAAATAAAAATAATGCTCCACAGGCACAAAATACTCCTATGTAAAGTTTTGTAGAGTCTGACATAGCGAAAGTTTCATCTGAAAATACAAAAAGTCATATTTCATAGCTTTTAAATCTTAGAGAATTCAAATCTGGTACAGGACTCGTGTACTTATTGTGGAAATACGCTAGGTGTTTGTATCAATGTATTTATCTCTTTGTTAGATTTAACGACTCGCTTGGTCTATTGTAAACATATTTGCATAATATTTTTAAGCATGCAGTCTCTGAAAAATCCTTTGTCCAATTAGAAAATAAAACAAGTTTAAAAAGATTATGTACATGTTCATGTGAATTTATGCATGCTTTGTTTGGTTCGATTGAGTGATTGCTGGTGTTTAATGCCACTTTCAATCGGCACTACTGGCCATATCGTGGTGGTCACTTTTTACTGGTGGGGGAAGTTGGAGTGCCCGGAGAGAACCACCAACCTTCGGCAGGATTGTTTGGTTTGCTTTGGGTTGTTACATAAAACAAATTTAAAAGAAAATCCGAGAAAAAAAACCATATTTAAACAAGATAATTAAATACTTTGCTACATTCATGTTGAACAAATTAAAGTGTTTGTCATCTTTATACCTGTGCAATGAGGTTGAGCCTCTACATTCCATTTGCCAGAGCTTAAGCACGTGACAATATCTCGTCCAATCAATTTATAGTCTTCAGGGCACGTGAGGTATACTTTCTGTCCAACTGTTCTTTGCGTTGTGCTTAATAGCGCATCTGGTGTATGTGAAGTGTTTGTTCTTGGAAGGAATCGAAAATCTATGCATTCTGAAAAAAGAAAAACAAAATTAAACAGGAGTATATGTTGATGTTTGTAAAGAGATTTGTTATTTAACCCACTCTAGCAAAGCAGAGGATTGTGTATATAGGAATCAGTGCATTTTTAGTCCATTACCTTTACTAGTCCGATACACTTTATGTCTTAAACTCTTTTCTTGAAACTGTAAAATATATATGTTCTACATATATAATGGAGGGTGTGAATCGGGGTTTACAGAATAAAAAAAAATAATGGGCAAAAAATCATGATAAAGAATAGAGAAAAGTTGACCAAAAAAAGTGAAGAAAAGAGAATAATGAGGTGCTAAAATTTAAAGAATAGAGAATTATAGGCAAAAAGTATAAATAATAGAGAAAAATGGCCTAAAAAATTAAAGAATACAGAAACGAAGGAGCCCCCATCCAGACCCTCATAATGGCATTGTGCATTTATTTTGGGGATTTAACAAAGCAATGCCTGAACTCAACTATATTTGCAAATGGTTGAAAAGTATTGTGGATTTGCAACTTTTCCTAAAGAAATGAGAGGATTTCCCGGCATGCTAAATCTTAAAAATCATTTTATATAACTCGATGTTGCTGTCTTATTGTGATGTCATAGTTTTGACATTGTTCTTTGGTCTATGCGCATCTCGCCAGAAATGTGTTGCAATTCTGAATTATCCGAAAAATCTTATCCGATGATTGCTTGGTTGATTGTTGTTGTATTGCTTAAAGTCCATTATTAAATAACAAAACAGATATTCACACTCGAAGGTATCTTCTAATAACACGTATCTAATCGCTAATAAAAAAAATGTTGACGATTGTTCTATGTTTAATAAGTTAGCCAAAATGATTCTGAAATTAAAATTGATATTTATATTTTTTGCTCTGAAGCTTGGAAAATATCTTGCTAATGGTATCATCAAGAATAAAGCAGGGATTCTTCCAGTCCTTATTGAGGAATTTAAAAAATGTAGTTCTACAATTTTTCCTGTGAATTTGTAAGGCCACATAAACACCAAACTTTGTACATTTTTCTTTGTTTTGAAAAGCCCAGTATATTAATATGAAGCCAATATATAATTGACAATGCGTCAAATAGACAGAACATGATGGCGAACCACTTTGAATAGACAAAAACAAAACATACATACTCCTTTTTCTTACCAATGAGGTAGGGGCTCATACTTCGTTCTTTATCTATTAACCAAGTTGCATCTAATATTGCTCACACGTGTAAACAATCAATTGTACATAGTACTTTAACATGAAATACTTGTTATACTAAATATACATATATACTAACATTTATGTATAGAAAAAGAACATATGTGATGAAGATATTAATTGCCGAATATACATTAATGTATTGAAACGACATAATAAGCTCACATTAAAAATGTAAAAAAAATGTAAAATTATCAATGATTTAATAGATTTTCATATTTCAGTGACCGAAACGTTGTAATATTTTCTGACCATGCGAAACCATAATGGGATCTCAACGATGTTAAACGCCCTCAGTATAATATATACAAAAACAGGAAAGCGAACTATGTCATGATAAATAGCTTTCTTTTCATTCTGTTACTATAGTAATAACATTATAAAGGTGTAATACCACCAAATCATGGTACGTCACATTCGGGTACGAAACAGGGTCGAAATTTGTCCCTTGAATTTGACAGCTATAGGATATTAACCCTGCATTTTATTGTCATAAACATATATCTTTGGTGTTCTAAAGCAACAATATTTTTCTTTTCTGGTGTCTCTATAAAAAAAAGTTATGGAAACTTGAGGTTACATGGTTACTAAAGATGGTAAACAGGGGAAAAAAAAGGGTAAACGTTTGATTGGTTAACTGCCAGTGAATGTTATTATCTTATATGAAATGAAATGTTATGTGAAAGCATTTCTTTATTTGAAACAAAGATAAATTCTGCACAAAATTTTGAAAAAATTCCTATTTAACAAAGACTAATAGAGGACAGTCAATGGTGGTATTACTCCTAAAAGGAAAACAAAAACCTACGATTAATTGATGAATTCATATTATATGGTATTTATTAAGGTATATTGTATGTTGATTTTTTTCTTATATTTGTTTGCTTATGCCAAGCCTCTGTTGTGTGCTCTTAAATTCAATATTACTTTTTATTGATTTCCAAACTGCAAAAAACAATTGTTTGACTTGCAAATGTGATGTTCTAGTATTCCCCGGAGATTTACTCTCCTTGGACTAACAAATGTAATGTTCTAGTATTCCCCAGAGATTTATTCTCCTGAGACTTACACATGTGATGTTCTAGTATTTTCCGGAGATTTAGTGTTTAATTCACCCTTAAATACTATATAGATGCAGTTTCTTTATTTAAAGGTTGTGCCTGGTTTCAGGAACCCGTTGAGATGCTTCATCCCTGTAGTCTTGAATGTAGATAATTAAGGCCCGACGATTGATCGGCGGAAGGCCTATATAAATCAGTTTGTCCATCATTGCGTCAGTCAATGACAAATCCTTTCTACTATTTTATCAAACTCTTTGGAGTTAGGGAATGAAACTTGACATGCTTATTTACCACTACCAGAAAGTGTGTCGCATACAAGAATCTCAGTGAAGGCCGATATCAAAAACTAGTTTAACTTAGTCATCCCTGTGCAGAAAAATCGTTTCCGCTCTCTAACTTTCAAACCCTTTGGAGATCGGTAATGCAATATGCCACATTTATTCGACACTACCTAAAGGTGTTTCAGGTACAAGGAAAGAAACCCAACAGTGAAGATGAAGATAAATAGCTTTTTTCAACTTTGTTATCCCTGTGCACATGTAGAAAAATTGCTTCCGCTTTAAAACCCTTTAAAGTTTGCTGATGAAACTTAGCACGATTATTCACCACTATATATACTTACAGGTGTGTCAGCTACAAGGAAACCATACATAAAAAGCCGTCATGAACAAAACCTTAGTTCAACTTAGTCGTCTCTGTACATATGCACAAAGATGTTTTCAGCTTAATAAACCTATTGCATTTTGAGGTTGATTTAGTGGTGCATCAAAAATGTTCTGTCTTTCATGTGTATAAGCTGTGTTTTATTCAAATAACCCATTACAGTTTATTTGTTAACACGATCGGGACCCTCTGTGATAGTTCCCATCACTATCCTCTATTTATTATATAATGATTAGCATTTTAACATAGATGTTTCATAAGGATTCCATCAATTCAGTTGGCAAAAAACAATCACATGTTGCTTAAAATCGAGAACTTGTATCCCAATAAAACAAATATTGACATTTTTTAACTTCATGTGCTCTCCATGACAAAGTTACAAAAGTGCGTTGGAATATTAAAACATAATAAAAAGCAAAACCTGCTTATTTTGGCATGTCGGGACCTGTTATATCTTACTACATGGTATATGTATGGAGTTTCTCATTGTTGAAGGCCATACGATGACCTGTAGCTGCTTACATTTACGTTATTTGGTCTCTGGTGGATATAGTTATGTCATTGCCAAGCATGTCACCTCATTAAATTTCCAGATTCGTAACTTCCCTTTTTCTATCATTAAAATGCAATTATAAGAAATGAATGCCTCATAATAAATTAAGTCTGATTTATCTTTTCTTCTATCATACATATTGTAGATGCCATATCAAGGGTACACTATATATATTTGTAATATTTACTTAATTCATTTCAACGCGCACTTACCCATGGTTGTAATTTGTTCTACGGTATCACCCATATTTGATCTGGTTTGTTGTGGTACTAAAATGAATTTTGAATGAAATGCAAGAATTCAAATTAAATCAATTAGTTGTAAGACATATGTGCCATTCTTCTTAGTTCTGTAGTTTTGGGTAGGTCTGTTTCTGTCCAATTTCAAAACCTGCAATAAAGATACTTAATATTTGTTCATGTTTATCTTTTCAGTAATAGAAATCATGATTTAAGCAAAACAGGACGACCCTAGGAATAAAAGCCCTGTTTATTGATAATTTTCTATGTTTTCAATGTATTGTGTGCGATTTTGTCCCATGTACATTTACTCCATATCCTTTCATTTTCTATTACAATTTGAAATATTTATTCCTGGGTGTATTTTGGGTTTTATCGGAAATAATTATTAAATAAAAACTCATCAAAGATTCCATTCTTTTTCAATATTCATTGGCTCTATAGAAGTGAAAGTTATAATATGATTAAATTACACGATTATATACCGATACATTATCTATGTAAGAATATCACTTATATCTACCTAAATCTTGTTAATATATCCATACATTGCCTTTAGGGACAAGATATGACAAATAGCACATAGACATAAAATTGTGAAAATGTAAATAAACAAATTATGGCATACAACATATTTGCCTTAGAGTCTTTTTATGCATTTATTTCAACATTGTTTACTTCTAATTTTTTAATATTAATATGTTTTGTAAAATAAAGCACATACCTATCATTTTTGTCTGATTTATAATATTTATTATCTAATATTGTAATAAAATTACAAAATATAAAAACAAATTTTGAATAATACACGAACTAGGAGCTTATTTTCTATGTATAAATTCTTACAAAAGTACATATCTCATGGGGATTTTTGTTATAATCTCATTTCGGGTGAAAAAAACCCATATGAAGTTGTTGTTTGATAAATTGTTTTGACCAAAAATGTCACATAGGTATTTTATAAACGCCCGGAAAATTATTTTAACAGTTAATGGTAATAGACATATTTAATATAAAACTAAATTAAATTAGGTTTTTTTTTCTTACCTTTCATTGTCTCCTCTATCAATTTATTTCTTTCTCACCCCAGTCGGACAAGATATCAATCCCTAAGATCTTCCGGAAGTGCAGATCGGAACCACAAATATGAATATCAAATCGGATCAAGGGTTGAACAATCTTACTACTGCTAAAGTTAGTACTACATTAGATCAGATGATAAAAATAAATCTCAGATTTTTAGCAGGATACTATTTTAATTTACACAACAAAACTGGTCAAAAGATTTCATGCCACAAATGTCAAAGAATTAGAAACGAGGTAGAGAAAATCCCTGTCAGCCATGTCTATCTTAAGGGGAAGTTGTCACTGTGACATCACATACATCATGAATCAATTAATCTACATATAACACATATAAGTACATATATCGTAGTCTAGTCTTCAATTAGGAAAGGAGTTCTCTGTGTCAAGGTGTCGACTAAGTGAAAAGTGTAAAGAGTTCTTTTTTGTGTGAACGCTTCACTATAGGCATCCAAGTTACTTAAGTTGGAGTTCATTTATAAAGTGCTAGAGTTGAATAAAGATCAATTGTGGCATGATTCTTAATAAGGCTGTAAATTAAGAAATGTTTGCGATTTTATTATTATTTCAAAAATTTCGACCGGATAGATGTCACAAAAATAACAAGAGGCTCCTAAGAGTCTGAATCGCTCACCTGCATTTTGATATTTATTTAATCCTTTATAATAATTGCCATCATTTTTTGCTTTTTTGTGAATCTTATTTAGTGATATTTTGAAGATCTTGTATTGGCGATCATTTATATTGTCAAAAGTTTATTCCTATCTATTGAAGATTTCGAGATACTTTTAGTTTTTCTTACAAAATTGCAAAAAATGGATAAAAAAAAAATATTATTTAGGGGAAATAACGCTTATTGGGAATCGGTTGACAATTTGGCTATGATGACTTATTTGTAGATCTTATTGTGCTCAGCGTTATTTGTATTTTCCGTTTCTCTCTATCTGTTATATTTTTGAACACACACATTGGTAAACATCATCTTTCAAGGGCAATCACTCCTCTATAGAGTCAGTTCACGATTTGAACTATTTTGACGGCTTATTTGTAGATCTTTTTTTGCTGAACATTTTTGCCCTATATTGTTGCTCTCTATTATCGTTTCTACAAATTGTTAATTCAAGGACAATAACTCCTATAAGAAGTCAGTTGACAATTTTTGCCATGTTGACTTAGACCCCGATCACACTAGCATTTTTTGAATCGATCTAAATAAAACCATTTAGCGTTCACATTATCTTTAATCCTAACGATCTCTATCTTTCTAATCTGAACCACTGCGTTCACACTTCAATTAAAAATGCAATCGATATGACCTAATTACCCGTGAAATTGTAAACAGTATATAAAAATAGAAATATTTATTCAAATTAATGTGTTGATACACACGCTTGTACAAAAAATATAATGGATGAAGTTATTGTTTCACTTGAATTACAAGTTCAAATGTTGATACCACTGTTCGTATAGTTTTCGTTAACTTTCAGCCCTTTTATGTTGGTCATTCATTTTGTAATAAATTGCACGTGTAATTTTGCCGCCATTCATTTTATTTTCGATTCAATCGTACGTACTAGTTAAAATCGATCTCTGCGTTCACATTTAACGTTAGATCGGTTCACTTTAGATCGATTCAAACTAAACTACCTCTTTTGGTGATCTAGTTTAGACCGATTAAAGATCGATTCAATGCGTTCACATTTGACTTAAATCGATCTAAAGTGAACCGATTTAGTTTAAATCGATCTTAATGTCCAAGGCTGAACGGGATCTAAATTGTAGATTGTGCATAATATTTTTGACATTTATAATTTATTTCTATCTATGATGGTTTCTGCAAAAGGAAATAACTTCCAAGGGGACAATTAACGATTTCACCCATGTTGACTTATGCGTACACTTTATTTTGTCGAACATTTTTGCTATTCACAGTTTCTCACTATCTATGATGGCTTCTGCAACAGATATATCATAAAATGGTTATTCAGGCTTCTATAAAGGGTCAATTGACGCTTTAGTCATATTGAGGTATTTGTAGCTCTTATTCTGCTGAACGTTTTGGCTGTTCACAGTTTCGGTCTATCTATTATAGATTCTGCAAAAATCATATTTTGCTGAACATTCTTACCTACTCAAGTTCTCACTATCTTTTATAGTTTCTACTAAAATGGGTAAAAATTATCTATCAACGACAATCAACTTACAATTTTGTCCAAGTTGCCTTATTTATAGATTTTATTTTGGTGAACAATTTTACTACCGAAATATTCTCTGCATCTTCTATTGTATCCGCAAAAAAATGCAAAAAAAGGGGGAAAAATATTCAACGGCAACAACTACTATAAAGGCATGCAAGGGTCAAGTGACGATTTCTGTGATATTGACTCATTTATAGATCTTACTGTTCTGGTCACTTTAACTGTTTACAATTTCTTTTAATCATTAATTATAATGTTTACAGGATAATAAGCAAAAACTTCGAAATATGCTTAAAATTAACATTTCAGGGACAATAACTCCGACATGGATTGTTTTATTTTTCTGAACATCACACAGGTGATGGACTGCTTATCATTTCTATTCTTTCAGTTTTGTAAAATCTGCTTTAGTTTTTGAAATATAGCCAAACCCATATGTTCTATTTTGAGTAACAGCGGCAATGTTTGTTAATTAATCAAAGCCCCGAAAACAGATTCCCTAAGGAACATTCAGGTAAAGTTTAGTCTAGTCGTTTCAGATGGTTAGGATCGCGATTTTGGTGAGACAGTCTTGACAAAGCCCTGGAAACACACATCGACACCGGTACATACATATAGGAAAGATCCGACTAAGAAAAAAAATCAACTATTTATTAGCAGTTATTTCCCTTTTTATTTTTGACTGGGAGACGGATTAATATAAGGAAAATCTTGTTTCCGAATCCCTTTGCATTTATGTACTACTGTATTCATATGTATATGTCATGTACATGCTTTTGTGAAATAAAACATGTTTAAAGTGGTCGTTTCAGAGGAGAAGATTTCTTGAAGGTTTACGACGAACGACGATGGCGACGGACGCCAAGCGACGGAAAAGGCTCACTTTTTCGGCCAGGTGAGCTAAACATTTGCATTTAAATTTTGATAGCATTTTTTGTATGCAGCATTTCCCGAAATCCTAATAATTAAACTCGCATTTGTGTTCATTTTTCAACAATCGCAAAAATAAATACATGCAGAAATTTCAGAATCTACAGTAGTCCGTTTTCAAATTACCAACTTTGACTCCATTTTTAGGTTTTATTTTATAAAGAAGTACAGGTTCAAGGTAATACCAAATGTACCCCTTGTTTATAAAACCGTATGGAATGAGCATGAGCATGTTGCAATATATATTGTGCAGGATCTGAAAACAAGACTGATTTCGTTAGTACACTACTCATTTGATGTTAAAAAAAACATAAAAAAATGGATAGCTCCGCGATCCCATGACACGTGATATCAAAATATGTTCTGATAATGAGGTTTGTACCGGCGGGGATACAGTGTGTACTATATAGTTTCACCAAGTAAATTTAAAAATTATAAACAAAGTGGCTATTGTGTGAAAGAGAGGCGAAATATACCAAAGGGATGTTCAATTTCATAAGTCGAAAACAAACTGACAACGTTAAAAACGAAAAAAGGCAAATAACAGTATGCAATACACAATATAGAAAACAAAAGACAGAGCAACATGAACTACACCAAAAACCGGTAGTGCTCTCGGTTGCTCCTGAAGGGTTTGTATATACTGCTTTACATGTGCCACCTGTCGTGTTACTACTCGTGTTATTACAAATTAATATTTGAGGAAAAAAGGACGGGATTGTGGTTACGACAATTGGAACATTTTCGTCTTCATCTGTCAAACATATATTCCATAATAGAATGTAAATGAACATTTGGTGTAGGATGTCACTTTGGAATATCACGACGCTTGATACATGTATAGCAGGAAATGCATACTATATCGACCAATATAGTTTCTTTCAGAATCCCATGACACGTGACATATAATGAAGAAGAAGAAGAAGAATATTTTATTCTAATTAAGGGCTTCGAAGGGAATACACATTTGAAAAGACAACAACATTATAATTTGAGATTGAAAACAAATACCATTCAATAAAATTAAATGATATATAACTTTCGTAAGTAATTGTTTAAGCAGCTTAAGCTTTTATTATACACAATGCAAGTGTGGCTGATTCTATATTCAGAAAAAAAATACATAGTTATATAAAAGATAAACATAAAGTTGCCCAAAAAGTTCAGCATGTTTACAGTCCTTCCCGTGTCAACAGTAAGTAAGATAGTGGAGCTGTATCATAAATACAACTGACACGAGGGGTGATACTTTAAAGACTGACTGACATGCTTAATATATATATGGAAATGTGTCTAACCTATCTGTATCAAAGGCATAACAGGTAGCAGCTAGGTAATTTGAATGCAGTTGACACCAAGGGACGATGCCGTTAGGAGATAAGAACATTTTCATTTATAGAAGAAATCAATATATATCTTCCATTTCCTTATTTATAAGGACTAATATTTGTTTGACTTTTAAATCAATAAGTAAATACAACCACAATTTAAAAAATATTTATTTATATGTATATAATTTAATTTTGGATGTAACACGTCTTCTGATTGGCTGAAAGTGTTTTGTCTATCATATCATAGACATAATTTTGTCATGTGACCGCGACGTCATCAACGTTTTTATCATTATTTACTTCTTTTTAGAATTAAATTATAAGGAATGACTTTAATATTTTTTCTGTCTATTTGAAATAACATAAAAAATGTGGTACACACTTTTAAATAACCCGCTACGCGCGTCATTCAGTGTGCACCACATTTTTTATGTTATTTCTTCATAGACAGAAAAAATATTACAGTCATTCCTTAAGTATATAAAAATAAGGAGATGTGGTATGATGCCAATGATACAACTATCCACCAAAGTTCAAATGAAGTTGATGTAAGAAATTATAGGCAGCCGTACGGTCTTCAACAATGAGAAAAACATATCATATAGTCGACTATAAAAGGCCCCGATATGAAAGATATGAAATAATTCAATTGACTATGACAATCAGATAAGGTGGGAATAGATCTAGATTCATTAAACATACAATATCCCCTCCGACATAGCAACATAACCAACCACACTTGCACATTAGGGGTATAGCATGTATAATTATCATATGTGTCCCCAATAACTATGCCGTTTAAGGATGTACTTAGGTGAAATAAAAAAAAATCTTAAATTTATAATTGATACTATAAGTCAGAAGAGCATTAGTTAAGGTACAAAATAAGCTTAAATATTGATAGGTTATGGATCTCCTTTTAGAGATATTTAATTTTAAAAAAATGGGAAAAGGCTGACTCGGACATTTACCTTATATTTGCATTGGTATTATTTGTGTCTCAAATCGAAAGAAAAGAAATCTAGAATCTGCTTAAATTTTGGTAAATGAATTTTTATGAGCTATTGTCTTATATGGAAATAAAAATGGGTGTTATGGGGCAAAATATTTTACCCTGTATCGTAGGAAAAAAAACAAGGAGTCCAAACATCTGACAAAAATTCCTAAACCTGACCTAAGTACATCCTTAAGACTCTTATATGTTTACAAATGCAAAAATCCAAAAGTTCTTTACTTCTTTGATCAACTTTTGATATTGACTTTTTCTTGACAATATGTGTTTGTAAGCAGGATATGTATAAAAAAATGGAGTGAATTATGAATCATCGTTCATAATACATAACAATCGTTTTCAGAACATATTCTTGCGTTAAAATGACCACATAGCAAAATCTCGTCCATGTTTTTATATTGAACAATATCTTTTTCTATGCATTCACCTATATCACAAGAGAGTTCTTGGGTATATTGTGATGAAACACGTGGTTGTAGAGTATACAAATAAAAAGGTCGTTTTTAAAACCAAAAGAGGATTTTCTGATTTCATCCATTGACAATCCTGATTATTGTTGTTTAACATTTTAACATAAGGTTTGACATGGCTCTTCTGTAAAATTGCTTTACCCGCATGTATGAATTAAATATTATAAATAATTCAAAAATATAAAACAAAATAATAATAGATTGTCTGTCTATTAATGAGAAGTTCATAGACAACAAGACTATAAATAAGGGGGGAAAATAAGTAAAAAAAACATGTGTCATGTGTGTGTAAATAATTCAGTGATATATTTTGGCAGTAATTTCCATTCTAAATATACCAACCAGGCAATATTTATTTTTTTAATATTCCTTGTTCCTTAACAATTTATCTGTTATATCAATAATTCCAAACTACTAAATTATCAATTTGTGTTGAATAACCTGATATCCTGGATTAGTTTAAGTACTCAAAACTGTAATTATATAAATAGACATAAAAAATAAAGATAATGATACATGTATATAAATAAGCAAAGTTATGGCTATTATTCTCCGTCTCTTACACGTCCACGTACTCTTCTGTTACGAGATCTAGAGCTACTTGTAATAGGCATATGAATATTCAATGCTTGAAGAATTCAACTTTTCAGGTCAATCGAAAACGGTTTATAGAGTGAATATGTAAATTTATCCGAGCACTTCTTTGATTTTCTCCCAAAATACAACATTTCCTTGCTGATCATGAGGATATTCTATGTATGACTGCTGTTGAACGAGTTCTAACATGACAAGAGGAAGATCTTTTGGTTGTATGTTTTCATAGAATACCAAGAATATGGTACTGCGTCCTCCTCTGGAGTAAATACTATCCATTCTTGCCATATTATATTCAAATATACAGTAATAAGAATCAAGAAACGATTGTGTAACGATACACACGGTCTTCTTACTCTCACGGATAGCGTTCGTTATATTTACAGTAATGTCTTCACCAGGGATAAAGTCTCGTTGATGGATACACAGTTTTATGTCACATGTTTGTTCAATATTTGGAATCCATTCATTTACGATAAAATCACGTTCGTTATCAGAATAGGAGACGAAAGCGTTAAATGTGAATACTTCGTCCATTTCGACTGGTTTATAACGGTAATATTTACTCTTTGTTGTGTAATACATATAACGGAGTGTCCATCGATGTCGATAAATTAAGCCAGAACATAAAATTAAAATTGCTGCAAATATTCCAACGGACAAACAGACGATCAATGTCGTATATGTGGAACATTCCTTTTGGATTTGGTTAACCGTTTCTTTTAATAATGTTAGGTTAGCAATATTTCCATTTTCAAATTTGCACGTGTAGCGTTCCTGGTTCAAAAACCGCTCACTGTGATCCAACATCCATCGGAGGAATTTTACCGTATTACAACTACACTGCAACATATTATAAGTCAAATCTATTTTTAGATCTGTAGTTTTGAAAAGAGTAGTAAAAGCAGTCATAATTGTTTCATTGAAATGTGTGATTGAATTATCCGATAAATCTAAAATTTGAATTGACAATAAATGTGAAGTGTCAAATGTTATGTCCATTAAATAGTTATGACTTAAATTTATTGCGTTAAGACGGACATTGTTATGGAATATTGAAAATGTCAAAAAATGAATATTGTTCATTGAAAGATCTATGCTTTGCAAATCCGTCTTTGAAGAGATCATATATGAATGGACTGCAAGAAATTTCCCTAAAGAATTATTTCGAAGGTTCAGGCTTAGTAAGTAGGGCATATAAATTGATAACTGTCTCAATCCATCACTTGAAAAATCTAAAAGTCGAAGCGAAGGAGGAAGATATTCAAATGAAGAAGCCATAGATGCTGTCGTCAACATGTTGTCTGTTATATATAAACTCCTTATACTAGTGTTATTTAAGTAGTAGAATACATCATATGGAAATCTGACTGCTGTAAAAAATGTGCGTTTCAGTATCAAAGTATCTATAGAGGTGGTCTGTAAATCTTGAAATATTTGGTCGACTTGAGAGGAACTATACTGTTTTCGAAAATGTATTTTCAGAAACTTCAGACTGTGCATGTTGCTAAAAACATCGGATGAAATAATTGTTATAGGGCAACTTGAAATATCGATGTGTTCTAATTGCTCTATATACACAAAAGACCTACTTCCTAACATAAAAACACCACAAAGGCCTGAAACTAGTCGTTTTAGTCTCCTTAGTAATGACACGCCTTTTCCAAATAGACTGAAACCATATGTATCCAAGATGTCAACCTCCAGAGTTTCTAAGGCATGAAGATCAACAATTATTTTGCCCTGAAGATTTTCAGTAATCACATTGTGTTTTACATTCAAACACAACAATGACATCAACGGTATGAATATTCCCTCAGGTAAGTGAATCACGGAAATATCATTGTTTGCAATTGTAAGTCGTTGTAGGTGATTTAGTCCTTCGAAAGCATATCGTTCTACTCTCTCTGTCTGAATTTTATTTCCAGTCAAATCGAGATCTGTGAGATGTGCAAGGTTGTCAAATGAATAGTCCTTTATAGACCGAATCGAATTATTACTCAGATATAGTGTTTTGACATTACATGGGAAGCGTGGAATATCTGTCATTTCTAGACTTGAACAATCAACATATAAAAACTCCTTTCCATTTTTGCATTGGCATTTGAGGTCAAATGGACATTGATGAAAGTATGTTTGGTTGTTCATACAAGTTGTCATTCTACATGATATTGAAAATATTAAAACTTGTAGTATATATTTCATTGTTCCAAATAGTCTTTTTCAACTACAAATAAAACGAATACATATATTCATACGACAATAAATTTATAGCATTACCATTGCACAAATAATGTGTTCTTTAAAGAAGGACATTAGATATTTTGAATAAAAGGCGGAACCGTTGAACTAACTGCTTTCAAGAAAGGGAATTCGAAATTGGAATCCTGAAGGGCAATAATCAACCACGACAAACACGCAGACAAAGAGTATATTAACCTATCCTGCTTTGTAGACGACCCCTTAAGCAGATACTGAAATATAAAATTGAATTGACGTGGTATGATTGTCATTGAAACAATTACCCACCAGGGGCTAAATAATTCGAATGCAACGACAGCTACTACTGATTAACAGGGTCCTGACCCGAGATAGGCACATACAAAATGGCTGGATTAAAAAAGTTTGTGAGCGAAAAATCCTCTCTTAACCTGGGACAATAGTGTTACATCATAACAAACCAAAAAATCAATTACAATGAGCGTGTGGCTTCAAATCGGATCTAAGCACAACAAAACACATCAAAAATACAAAATTATAAATCCTAGAGTACTCGCAGTTAGTAAAAGTTAGTTCATACAAATATAGTCCTCTGGTCATGTTAAAATTGGAAACCTTGACATGGTAAACAATGATCAACTAAGAGAGTTGTTAATCAAAATCAAAACAGAAAAACCGATTTCTCCAGTCAACCAACAGGAAGGAATGCTGTTGATTTAGTTGATTATGCCAGAAAATGGGGAAAACGCGAGAAGGAAAACCAAAATAGGACACATTATCTGAATGGATAAAATCAGATGTCAAAATTTTCGATGTGCAATGAGCACACATATATCCAAACCTTTTGAAAATCCCTTTGTTTTAGATGCTCTTTACCTCTCTTTATGACAAAATAAATATATTTTTATTCCTGCAGACAAAGCCTCAAACCGAATTTTATATTCCAAAATCATTATTCTGAATTTATAACTAAAGAACTTGGAATTCATAGCAACAATGTATTACTCGCATCTACTTAAAAAATTCTTATAAATATCTATATACGCCTGGTTGTGAAGTTGTAGACTAAACATCTATCTTAAGTTCTTCCATACGTTTTTCTACAGTAGTAGATTGACTACAGAAATATTCAACCAGAGATGTCAATCAAATTTCGATTCTTAAAATTTCTGAAGATGAACTCAACAGTCTTTAATCCCAATCTGAAAAAAATTGAGGTTTTTGAAAATGTTTTTTTTACATTTTTCTACGCTTCACACTGGTATAACAACCTTTCAGTAAGTGCTTGTATTTCATATATCACAGTAAACTTGAGCTTAAAGATAGTAGCAAAACTAAAAGGTCTGATTCATGACTTGATCATTTTCTTGATATTGACAAATATAGGCAAACTAAATTCAAACAAGATGATTTCAACTTTCCAATTGGCAACCTCCCATTTTCATCAGTAACGTAAACTATGCCCTATTGTTTGAATATATCTAAAACTACGTTACGCTCGAGTATGTTCACACTATATAGACTTCATTAATAAGGGTCTGCCCCCCCCCCCCCCCCCAAAAAAAAAAAAAACAAAAACAAAAACAAAAACAAAAACAAAACAAAACAAAACAAAACAAAACAAAACAAAACAAAACAAAAACAAAACAAAAACAAAAACAAAAACAAAACTGTTCCAACAGAGTTATGACGAAGAACGACTGAAATTGACACTACATAAGCTGTCAGCCTGTTACCATCACAAATATTTTTTTTTGACCGATATGATTTGTCTGTGTCGCGTCCAATAGATTTAAAGAAGTCGTTATGAACAGTTCTAGAAAAGCACGAACTTGTGAAATGCAAACAATATAAGTATTGACAAGGTTAAGACCATAGTGTTCATAACTGTATAACAATAATATTAAAGATCTTACAAAAATGGTTAATGAATAGCCTTTAAGAATAAGTCAATTCAATGATCAATAAGTAAGCATTAATCGTATCTTCACTTATGGACTCTATAAACAACAAACTAGTAAAAATTAATAAAGATGCTATATTCCTTTTCTTATAAGATTTTCCGCTTGTAACAAGCATGCTTTTCTATTCATTAGTCGTTCTCAACGGTGATATGAACGCGTGTAGTTATTCAAGAAAAAGATAATAGTTACCAAATGGTATTCTGCTTTACATATTTGACTACAAGTTTATAATTGTGTTTATTATATATATCGCGATGACTAACAAACTTTGCTATTTATTTTGTGTTTGTGCTACGTTTGTTCCTGATGTTGTCTAATTAGGCCGTTTGGATTGACTAACATTTGACGTCACTTGTCTTCTTTCCGGTGTCATCAGTTAGATTGCTTACTTTTTCGTTAAGCCCGTTTAAAATTACTTAGCAAATTGGAACATAAATAATGCAAAATACCATAAAAGGTTCCAAGTTCAATATTATAATTTTTTCGTTAATGTCACTGACGTAGTTAAAGTAGCATTAATCAAACTATTTATCTGCAACAGATGCTCATTTCGATGTTATTATTTGCAGAGAAAAAAGTATTGTATTGAAAAAAGTAAAATAACAAAATTACCGGTCTCCAAAGAAAATTCAAAACGGAAAGTACAGGCATTTCCTTATTTAGAAAATGGTGGATTAAACCTGGTTTCATAGCTAGTTAAACCTCTCACTTGTATGACAGTCGCATAAAATTCCATTATATTGACAACAATGTGTGAACAAAACAAACAGACATATTAGGTAAACATGTCAAAAATAGGAGTACAGCAGTCAACACTGTGTTATAATCTTAATCGCTATAAAAAAAAACAAATATGTCAACAAAGAAAAACAAATTGGCATATAGACAAAGCACATAAGCAAAAATGAAATACAAGAATACAAAAAATGACGATAGCACAATAACACAATGGCGGGATGTATAAGTACCGAGCCACGCCAAGAGAATATTATCAAAAATAAACTAAACAGTTAAGTAAATAATTTACAAAAACAAATAAAAGAACACTTTAACACGTAATTAAGATAATAAACAACGTCAGTATCTAGAATATATACGTCAAGATCATCTTGTATTATTTGTGAAGTTTATACGGAATATTTATCAACAAGGTCTTGGTATCTTCTGATGAACTTTTTTTAGAAAAACTTTCTTTGTCATAACCCTGGTCCATAAACTTTCTGCTCATACACTGGTGACGTTTTATAAAGTCTGAGTAGCAGCTGCAAGCTCTTGAATACCGAATGAGTTGGGAAATGTATATCCCATAAGCAGGTAACGTTGGTATATTGCTACTAAGGTCGGGGAAATGGATAATTTCAAAATTAAAATCGTCTCATTTGTCATAGATTCTGGTACTGAGATGACCGCTTATGTCAAGTTCGAGGTATACGTCTAAAAATGAGGAAGAGGAAGCCGTGTCTGTTGTTTCTTTAATTTCTAGTTCTGTAGGATATATTAATGGAACCCAATCAGAAAAAAAAATGGATTGTTAATGGAAAGAACATCATCAATATATCTGAATGTGAAATGAAATGACCTGGTTTCTTTGATCTTCTTGTTTTTGACAAGTGTCTGAAGGAACTCCGACTCACATGAAAATAAGAAGAGGTCGGCAAGGAGAGGCGCACAGTTCATTCCCATAGGAATACCGACAATAAATGTATTGACAATAAATGTCTCTTCGGTGATGTCCGAGGCCTAAATATTTAAAAATGAAATAACGTCCTTCACGTTTTACCCATGTCTTATGCCCAAGTGCTATAACTGAAAAAGGGTTTTCTTTAAAGCTTTTTAATAAAC